CAAATTCTCCCCACTCCCTAGCAGGCTGTTCTCTCCCCTTCTCAAATCCTACCCTTGGCCATCATCAAGGCCTAATTCAAGATAGGCCTCTTCCATGAAGGTGTGACCAGCCGAACTCCACCACAACCTTCATTTCTCTGGATTCCTATAGCACTCAGTGTCTAAAGTCCATACTTTCCTACTGCACTATAAACTGCTTTATATTTTATTAATTCTTTAGATCGCCAAGAATGACAGGGGTAGTCATTTTTGGGGCGGGGGAGGGCAGGGGGCGGTCTGACCCATAGCAACCAACACAGAGCTGGGCACATACCTAGGCATTATTTGCTTAACACTTCATGAATGATTTGTTGAATGCATGAGCCACTGGCCAAAATTCATGTCTTCTGGTTAAAAATAATACTACAAAATTTAAACCATCACGGTCCTCTAAGGCACCATATCTAAATAAGTCTTATTACTATAAGAATCTGAAGAGATCGCTTTAGAAAATTCTTCTTTCATAAAGTTTCCACCTCAAACCACAAAAAGCAGGGCTCTTTCTCGTATGAAGGTATAGCATATTTGGAGCTTGATGACTGACCCCTACTTTTGAATTGAGTCTCACCAGTGATGCCTTGCCAAAAATCTTAAGGCATCACATTTGAAAAGCACAAATCGAAAATCGCTCTCAGGTATCCCTTCACTTGACACTGAGTTATTGAGTGTCTTCTATGAGGGTCAGTCCTGCAGATCCTCTTTGATCTCGGCTGGGCCTTCAGTGAAGTTAGACAATCCTTTCATTCATCCCCAGATGATTTCTTATTCCACCCACAGAGGCAGCTGCTCCAAACCTCCGGAAGTCTCTTGAAGTTTCCCAACCAGCACACCACCTTTCCTTTCTGCAGAGGACCTCATCTCCTGCCTTCTTTAGAAGGCAGGGACCATGCAACATGGACATACTAAACACAGCTCCGTTCTTTGAAGAGATTCAGGTCTGAGCACCACTGCTCTAACATGACCTAATGATGATGCAAACACAAAATCAAAAGGCCTATTGATGAAGTCATCATTGGGTCTTTCTCAGGCATCCTCCCAGAAGGCCATGTTTACTTTCCTCTCTCCTTGCACTGCTTCTGAGTTGCTGTAAGTCTATAAAAATGACACTCAGCCAGAATGATCCCTGCAAGAAATTCTGCCTGAATCCAAGCTCTGCCTTCTCAAAACAATTTCTTTTAAGAATTTGCACCCAGTTTGTTTTGTCCTTCTGTTGCCAGGGTCCAAGGAGTATGGCCTGAATGGTCTTCCTTTGAGGCACATCATACACAGCCCTCTGCATAATAGCCATGGCTAGGAAGCCAATATCCAAACTCTTTGCATCCTGGGAGGCGTCCCACACCACTGATTGAACTCTGTGGTGTCTTTTGACAGACAAGGCCATCCAGGGACTTTGACAGAATCTGAATCACAAGGTGCCTTTTGGTTTCCCACTGGCATGATGGTACAGAGAGGCCACAGATTTGTCTTCTTAAAGTGACACACAATATATAATTAATAAATTGTTCCTTGAGGAACGGAGGGCAGCCATCCAAAAGAACCACGCATTCAGGAACCTCCTTCTCTTCTCTTTCTATGGCCTTTTCTTCTTAGGCTGGGATTTACAGACATTATCTCATCCACGGGCTCCTGTGGTGACAGGTAGGTAACAAGCTAGGCAGGCTCTTTGCATTGCCCAACTTTTAAAGACAGAGAGGTAGTGGCTGATGTAAAGGAACACAGCAAGTCAGGGGTAAATCCTGTGTCCTAAATCCACTGTATTACTCTGTCTGCCTGGGAAATGAAACATGCCCTTTACATTCTTGGTTGGTTGCAAAAGGCTGAAAGCACACAGAGGAAAATGTCCTTCCTGACCTCTGGGTGTTGAAATGTGAGAACTACCTCTGGGCTTCTGCTCAGGGTATTCCTTCCGCCTTGTCTCTGCCTACTCGAGTTATATCCACCTTCAGTGTGCTACTCAAGACCACTTCTTACCTGAAGCCCTTACCAACACCATTTTACCACCCCTTCCTTTGGTTACCTTATGCAGGTAAACCTGAGGCTGGGTTTCCTGGTCACAGGGACCAACTGCCCCAGGAAAAGCAAAACCCAGGAAGGCTCTAGGGGTGGAGGTGTTGTTAAATTAACACATTTAACAATATATACATGTAATCGTACTGTGTGCTAGATGCTCTCCTAAGCACTTTCATGCATGCCTCATGTAATAAGAGCACCCAGAGAAGTACTAGCTTTTCACCAGCACTGCTGTCCTGCCACCTTCCTGCTCAGTAGGAAGCAGCATGTCCCACCCTCTTGCCCGGCCTCCATCACTAATGCAGGGCCCATCCTTCGGAACCCAGACGTGGCTTTCCTCCTTAGAACAACGAGACCAAAGGCCTTTTACAAAGGCTCCAATGAGGTGACTGAGGTCTGGTTTCATCAACTACAAGAGAATAATTAATACTTGCCAGTAAAGAAACAGACCCATTGTTATGGTGGCCACATGCAGGCTACAAAAGGCCATTTTGTGAAGCTCTTGATGGAACACAAGGGCCAACAGAGGCCAAAAGAAACCCCTTTGCGAGTGTAGGCCAGCCCACAAATGTGGAGACTGGAGCTCTCTGCACCGTTTTCCTGGAGCACTGTTCCCAGTGTTAATCAGCTTATTGCCTATTCATCACCTAATTCCACTCTCTGGTTAAAGACAGCAGTGGAGGCCCATGGAACGCCCAGAGAGAGGGCACAATTTATCAGAAGGGACATGTAGTGTTCTTCTGGGGCCCTTCCCAGTTTTTAAATTCATGTCTCCTTCCTTCTCTGGGTCAGCCTGATTTGATTTGAGGAAAACTCTTCAATCCTCCTGGATTTTATACCCCCACTCTTGGCCTAATGCCTAAAACAAGTTTTTTCTTTTCCATTTCCAGCAGGGACTGAACAAGGCAGGCTTGGGTGCTTACAGAACCGGTCAGAACTGGCCAGGAAATATAATAAAGAAGCTTAGTGAGCCCAGAGCTAATGCCCCCAGCCAGAGGCTCAGCGTGCACAAGCAGCCAGAGGCCCTGGCTTTGTAAGTAACAACACGCTCTTCTTGTGGCCTAGTAACTATCCTGGCAGATGGCAGCCAGTGCCAACAAGTAATTCTCTATAGGAAACTTTCACCTCCCCCATGTGGACATTGGGCGCTCAACAATGCTTTGTAGTGACAGTAACCACTGACCGGTTACACATACATACTCCGAGGATATTTTTGCCCTCGGGGCCAAAGCTGCCCTTGCAGCAAACAGAGCTGACAGCTGCTAGATACTGTCATTGCAGGGAGCTGTTCCACAAAATTGCTACCCAGTTCCCCACTCCGACTTTCAGCTCACTGCCTGAAATTCCACCATTTAGAGGTATCAAGTATTTGACCTAAAGCTTTGTTTCCCATTAAAATGCCTCTCGGCTTCTGTTTCCTTTCTGGTCAAATGACATCTAAGCACCTGCTTTGCATGGAATGGGGAATTCTTTTGTATTTAGCGCTTGAGGATAAACGTGGTCACTGGCTCCTTTCTTGAAAACAAGGAGGATGGGAGCACAGGGAGGGAGCTGTGTGGAGTGGAGGTCAGAGGCCCTCAGGGAGGGTAACAGAGAAGGCTAACGCTGGAGAAAACCGCCTTGAGGGCTTAACAATCCTGCCCAGGGATGTGGGCCTAGATTTCTGCCCTCCAACATCTGTGATCTTCAGGGTTGCCAAAAATCTTCCAATGAGGAAGGTAAGAACCCCTGCCGTAAGGGGACACCGGGCAGGAGGTGGAAAAGGGGAGTGTGGGAACCAGCACTCTCCTGACTTGCCCCTCACGCCTGCAGGGCTGCCCCAATCTCCCTGCCCATCCCATGAGGGCACAAGCACCCAGGAACCGGCAGGTAAAGATCCTCGCCCCCTTCCTGGCCTGGTTGGGAGGGGAGCTGATGGCCATCAGCCCTTGGTGAGTGGTTTCTGCTGTGCCAGGGATACTAGGCAAGCAGAGGTCAAAGTCAGAGTCTCTGAGCTGGGGAGGGCACCTGGGCAGGCTCTGTCCTTCCCTAGAGGTTCTCTGTATAGAGAGCCATGCTCTTCATCAGACCACGCTTCCCGCCCCCACACCTAAACAGAGAGCACCCCCGTCTTTTGCTTTTCACATAGGCCGTGTGCAGCCATCCAGGGGAGGGTTGTCCTGAAAAGCTGAAGCCACAGCAGACAGGTAGGCGTCGTCCTGAGTCTTCAGAGCTCAAGAAAAGCCAACCTTTTCCCCAGGAGTCAGCCCACTCATCCTCTTCCTCCTCCTTCTACCCCGCCCCCAGCCGTCCCCCGAGGAGAGCGCTGCCAGCTTAGGCCAGAAGGCTTCAAAGCGGGTCAGACCAGCCTTCTTTCTCATTAAGGCCTCCACTCCCAAACAACGCCGCTTCGCCCCTCGCCCCACCCAACTCAGGTTCACCTCAGGGCGCTGGGTGCCCAGGGCGGCTGCCAGGCGGGCCCAGGCGGCTCTTGCTAGCCCTGGGGGAGGTGATGGTGGCCGCGGCGGCAGAGGCGGCGGCCGGCGCTCTGCAGTACCTGGACGCCGGGATGTCGCCGCCGCCGGGCTCGCGGCCGCTGCAGGTGTCTCCGGTACTCTGGATTCGTGCTGCTCCCTCTCCGGCCCGCGGCTCCCGCCCAGGCCGCGCACCTGCTGCTGCTGCTGCCGCCGCGCCGGGGCCCCTGCTTGTGTCGGCGCCTCCCCGCAGGGGGTCCGCGCCTCGGGGCCCAGGGTGGGCCCGAGGGGCAAGGAGGGGGGCACGCGGGGCCTGGAGCCCAGCGTCCGGGGCTTCCGGGGGGCCCTCAGGCCGCGCTAGCGGTAGCTCTGCACCGAGCGCCCCCGGTAGGCTAGGAGAAGGGGCGCCGGCACCTCGCGCATCCTCATGGCTGCATCACCGTCCCCAGCGGCATCCCGGTCCCCACGCGGGCCCCAAGGCCTGCGAGCGCCTCTTACCTGGGTCTGCGGCAGGTCCAATGGAGCCGCCCGAGGATACCGCGGGGCCCCGCGGCGGGGCGCAGGATGCTCTGCCCGGCTCGGCTCCACCGGCGGCCGCGCTCGGCCCCGCCTTCGGTCCCGCCCCTCCGCCCGCTGCTGCTCCTCCTCCGCCCCGGGTGCCCAGCCTCTTCCCCGCCGTGGCTGTCACACAAAGAGCAGGAAATGGCTGCGGCGAGGGGCTCCGGGTGCGCCCCTCTACACGGCCGGCGCATCCCAGACCTGCACCTCGGGCTCCCGCCCCAGTCCTGCCAGCCGCCCTGCTCTGGGGATGGAGAAAGCAGTGTGGACTTGTCCCTAGGCCCCGCATGCCTGGAACCACACCTGCAGCAGTGGGAGGACCGAAGCTTTGGGCTCCATTCGGAGCTCATTGATTTCACATTATTTCCAAGTGCGCATTTATCTACCTAATATGTATCCAGCACCTATTTTATTCCAAGTACCGTGCCAGCAACTGGGTATGCACTGGGGTACAAAAAAACAGGGTCCCTGCCCTTTTGGAGCTTTTCACCTACCAGGAGAGACAGGGCATCCATAAATAATCCTAGCAAATGTCCAGTTACAGCTGAGAGAAGTTTTGTGAAGCAGGAAAGGAACTGGGTAAAGTGATAGAAAGGTAACCTGGGGCTTGGGGAGAGGGGCCTTCTTTCTAACGATAGAGTCCTGTCCCTGGTGCTGCTCCTCACCTCAAGAATAACCTCTGGCACTCCCTTTCAGTTCCTTAAAGCCGAATTTCTGAAGCTGCCATATCTCTAAAGCAGGGATGTGCTTCAATTTCATTCAAGGCGAGTTGCCTAATGGACAAAAAGGAAAATATATGGTGACAGGAAGTAATTCCAGGCAAAGCCGGGGGTAGAGGGGGTGGTGGAGGAACTGAGAGGGCAGACACCTTTCTCTTCAACGCTGAATCTGCCATTTAGGACTCTCCAAAGAAACGGTTCTCCTTGACACACACGCAGCCTGATGGGTCTTCAGACCAGGCTGAAGTGAGGCCACCAAATCCTACCCTTGAGGCAAGTCACTTCACTCTGTTCCTGGGATGCCACCCTAGCTGCGAGAAGCCATACCCACCTTACAGGGTAAATAATCTGAAAGCATTTGAGATAGTTTAGGTGTATACAGATTCAAGGGATAAAGTCCTGTTAAAAGGGAACCATCCATAAATGTTTGCAGAGGGCCCACAAATTTATCCTTAACACTCAGCTCTTCCTATCAGGGGCTATTTATAGAAGGGCCATATTACTCAAGTGTCTGCAAAATGCTGTAGCAGTCTTTGCTCTCACTGATCTCACATGGTTTCCCAAGCACTCAGAAATCATGATCCTCTGTGGTTTGTTCTTAACATTACTCATTCTAATTTAAATCTAATTTAAATTGCTATTTTAGAAAGAATGGCATAAATGTATAAGCATATATATATATATATATATATATATATATATGTAAAATTTCTGTCCATGATGACATGTGAAAAAGCTGTGGGGGTGTTTGTGGAGGATGGCATTAAAAAAGGAACTGAGGTTTTTTTCCTTTAAAAAATTTTTTTTTCATTTTCCACTGTGATCCTTGGGATTTTGAGTGTCAGTGGTTACAAAGATGTAAGCATGAAAGAATGGATTTTCATTCTAAATGGAACATTGTTTGGGATGTTGTAGATTTCTGGAAGATATATTCCTCCCTGAGGTTCCTTCCCTGTCTTCACCTTTTAGGAACAATTGCTTAGAAACAAAAGGGACTTACTTATGTATTTGGTTAGATCTTAGGCAAAAATAATTCTCTGACTCCTGAACTCTATTTGCCTATAAGGGGAAGCAACGTGATCTTTTGAAACCACTGTGTTGGAAATCCAAAGGCTTGCCTTTCGGTCCTAGTTTTGCAATTAAGTGTTCTTAGGCAAATCACCCTCACCTCCCTGTTTCCCCTTCTATGCAGTGAAGTAGGTTGGATACCCTCCAAGGTCATTTTGAACGTGGAAAATCACTTGAGTTAAAACAAAGGACATGCCCTTGCCATGCTTAAAGCACTTCACTAGCTCCCCAGGCTCTTGGGATGAGCCCTGAACTCCTTACCATGGCCTAGGAGGGTCTTCATGACCTGGTGTCTCCCTCCCCTGTGAACAAGCTTGCCATGCCTCAGCTAAACGGAATCTGTTAGTTCCCCAAACTTGCTGTGTTCTTGCTTGTGTGTGGCCTTTGCACAAGCTGGACTTTGTGGCTTAGAATGATCTGACCTCCTTTCCCTCCCCCTTCCACACTTTCCCCCTAATTTTTTTGGGGAAAAAATTTGCTGCCTAATTTCTGTCCATCCTTCTGGTATCCATGTAGATATCACTTCCTCCAAGATCCCTCCGTGTCTGGGGTAGTGTAGGGTGAGCTGTCTAGGAGTCCCCAGACTTCCTCTACTGTCCCACTTGCTATGCTGTGGCGTAATTGGTGACATACTTGCCTGCATCTTACCATGAGAGCAGAATTAGAAGTAGCCTGTTATTTTGTAGATGAACTACTAAGGGCTGTTTTGCTGTTGAAACACGGCTGCTCCACCCTGGCCCATGTGGAAATGCATTCCTCCCCTCACTTTGCTCATTTCCCACAACTTCTGGAGAACTGGTCTCCCCTGAAGGTCAGATCTAGTACACACAACTTGATAGCAAAGAACATTTCCTCTGTATTTAAACAAACACTATTTACAATCATTTCGATTAAGGACTGTTAAGGAGGAGGGTCTGAGCATATTCCGAGTGGATTTGGAATGCAAAAACGTAGCTGAGGTAAAATGGGGTTGATGCTATTGTATTCTCAGGCTAGCATAGGTGGCCCTGTAATCAACCCCACAGAGTGGTTGGGGGCCTGGAATGTAGGAACAGACAAGCTGGTGTCTGTACCACATATCTTGCTCCTCCAGACCATTCCCTCCTTCTCACCCTAGAGACTGACCTCTGTGGCCTACCCTCTTGGGTAGTCCAACTGGCTTCCAGTTGGGTTTGGTTAACAAGAAGCCCCACCAGTTGATGGGGGGAAAGGAGGAGAGTGGGGTCAGCATATTATTTCTCTGGCTTCCTCCTTGTGATGCTGCCTTGGGCTTCCTCAGTCCCTCACTAAAGGTCCTTCTCTCTCAAGGCAAAGTTCTACAGGTGATTCTCTGCTTCCACGTTCAAATGACCACTCTCTCTTCTGTCTCTTCAGGCCTAGGGATGGTAACTGCTCCTTGGCTGTCATTTTCCTCTGTACCACTTCCTATGGTTCTCTTAAACCTGACCCACACTGTTTCAAATAGTCCTTTTGTAAATAAGCCCTGCTTGAATTATCTTAATGTGAGCGTGATGTGTTTGGTTCCTAACTGATAAGATAGCTTATTCATCTCATGCATCTAACACAGTGCCAAGCAAAAGCCGGTGAATGCCAACTATTTATGAAATATATAAAAGGATCTCTATAATTCTTTCTAATGGTATCTGTATGGTTCTGTAATTTCCCAAGCCAACTATACATCATAACTTAGGAAGAACCTCAAAGCCATTGAACACACACACACACACACACACACACACACACACACACACACACAGTGCTGCCTGCCACCAAGGGTGGCTCTGGGGAGTGGGCTTTGGTCCACCAAATTTCCAGCAACTCTCTCAAAGCCATTGCAAAATAAACATACACTCTAAGTAAAAACATGTGCTTTCTGTGTGAATGCAACTTCAGCTCCAACCCTCTCTTCTGATCATCATATCGCCTTCCTGAGCCCCTCCAACTAGGGAATCCACTATCCCGGTATACACACACACACACACACACACACACACACACATGTTGCTGAATGTTCTGCCTTTTCCTCAGAATGGTAGACCTCCGAGTGCTGGAAGATTCCAGAGTGAGTAGAGTCTGCAGGATAAATGCTCTGAGAAGATCTGTTCGTCCAACCCCCTTTAGAAGTTTCCTATCTGGACCATTTGCCAGTGGGAGCGAAGCCCAGAGGCGAGTCCCACGAAGGATTGCGTGGGAGCCAGCCGCAGGCCTTCTCACCATGCCTAATGGTCCTTGGTGAATGAACTGGTGAATGAACTGGCTCCTGCAGTGGACCTGGGCATTTGGTGAACTGAAAGGTACAGCGAGAGCGCAACACACCCAAACTATAAAAACCCAGCTTTTATTTCACAGGGATTTTTAAGAGGAAGGAGAACAGCTATTCATTTCTGTCCAACTGTGACTGAAGAATTCCGGGTTACAATTTCCACATGTCACCTACACAGCAAATGACAGTGAGTGAGTATGAACAATAATCTGGAACTAGGAGCAAGGCAGATGCCGTCTCCAAACTGGTTTCTCTTCCACCAGCTCTGCCTCTCTCAAATCCACTCACTAGGCCTCTGCCAGAATATATTTTTAAATGCAAATTTGACCTTCTCTCCTTGTTCAATGACATCTTTTCTATCGACAGGCAGAGTTCCAACTCTTTTTGTCTTTTAAAACATGGTCCTTGCCTAGATTTACAGCCTCAGTTTCAATTTGCCTACCCCTGCTATCAACCTTACCCTTGCCGAGACCACACACACACACCCCTTATGCTCCAGCAATGGTAAACTGAAAATAGCTTCCCAATACATTCTGTTTCCTCTATCCCTCTACCTGGAAAGTATTTATCTTATTTCTGCCTAGTTGCTTGCCTTAAAAAAAAATAATTCATCTTCAAAACTGAATCAGACATTATATCCCCTGACAGCACTTCCCAAACTTCAGTGTGCATATGATCACTTATGGATCTTGTTAAAACGTAGATGCTCGTTCAGTGGGTTTCTGGGTAAAACTGGAGAACCTGCATTTCTCACAAGCTGGTCATGTTGCTGTTGCTGGTCCAGGGGCCACACTTTGAGTAGCAAGGTTCCAGGCAGTTTCCCTGACATCACACTCGTTTATATGTCTGCCTTCCCAACCATACCTGGAGTTTCTTACAAGTAAAGATGGTGCCTTTCTTATCTTTGTTTCTGCAGCCCTCAAAATAGTATACGTGTATCATAAGAACATACGAACATTTGCTATTTACTTGTTGAGTAACGAGTGACCTATAGTCATTACTTGTCTGTAGATCATGAAACCATGGAACTATTTTTATTTAAGGAACATTTTTGGTTGTTTGACATTGGGATAAATGTGGAACCCAGGCCATACACACCATTCTTATCAAAACATACAGCTTTTGTGCCGGCCGAGTGGCGCGTTGGTTAAGAGCTGGTTTGGGACACCAGAGGACCCCAGTTCGGATCACACATATGAGGGCCAGTGACACTGCCCTCTACAGCTAAGATGCTAAACAACAGCTCAACCTGGAGCTGGGCTGCTGTGAGTCGCTGGCGACAGCGTAGGCTGCAGCCCCTGTGGCAGTGGGTTGCCATGGACTAGTGTGTAGCCAGCAGCCAGCGTGAGTGGCCAGCAGCCAGCGTGAGCGGCTGTCCAGAAGCCGGTGACTGATCTGCCTCACCAGGGAAGAGCGCAATGATGGTGCCAACTTGGGCCAGTGAAGCAACGTCCTCCACAACTAGACTGAAGAACAAAAGGACAGCAACTTGTCTGTTCCCCTTCCCCCAATTCCCCAGCGCTGTTCCCATCCCCCAATTCCCCAATAAAAATCTTTTAAAAAAAACCCCAAAAAACATACAGCTTTATTTGCTGGATCCAACCTTTAACTTCATGTGCTTTACAAAGTGTAAGAGATATTTGTAACATTTTTATTGTGAACTAGTACTGACTGTACATTAATAAATATTCAGTCTATGCATATATAAATACATAGTCTCAAAAGGTATAAAAGGCAAAATCTATAAAATACATCTAGAACCAAAACCTTTTATAAGGGAATTCCCTGTGAATACACATGACACCATTTTCAAAATGTGAGGGAAAAATACAAACAACCAAAAAAAATAGGCAAGAAGCCCGTTTTACAGGATAGGACACTGGGAGGTGAACTATCGACATGTTTTCAGTTAAGGCCCTGATGAATCTGAGCTTGATCAAGATAATACCATGCAAGGGGGAGTTTTCTAAACCAGATCACAGAAATCAGTCAATTCCGAAGATTTCCTTCTAGGCTGTATGTTCCAGAAACCATCTCTAATTAAGGGTTCCAGAGAGAATGCACAAAACACCAGAAAGTTCACAGGGATGGTTTTGGATAAGTTGAGTAAGATCCTCTGCTGAATGATGGAGTTCTATCTTGAGGCTCCCAGGTTTACAATAATTATAGTTAAAAGTTACGCACCTGAATGTCCAGCTGGCCAAAATATCACATGATTTAGAAAGAGCAGGTTGCAACAGCACCCGATAACCTCTCCAAGAGTTTTATCTGAACACTGCAGGAAAATGAACTCTCTCTTACATCAGGGAAAACTCTTCCCCATCAAGTATCCAAGAAGACTGCAGCCAGCTCAGAGTTGGAATGATAATTACAAGAAGCATTCATACTTCTGCGGGAGAATCTTTCTGTGCTGCTTTGAAGCTCACCTATAAATGGCTTCATGTGACCTGACTCTGGTGGATTGGGTGAACCAAAGGGTTAATTAACTGAGTAAATCCAAGCTCATTAACGCCAACAAAGGGGAGGCTACAGCTGAGTAAAGGGAAGATCCTATTTTAAGTTGGAGGGCTACAAGCGCCAACCACAGTGGTCTGTGTGGGAGCAGCTCCACTTGCTGGTGGCCCTCACGTTGACATCTTTGTTGGCTTTCTCTGCCTTTTTCCTCTCTGCTGTATTTATCTCCTCTGCAATCCCTTTCATCCTCAGTACAAGGCAGTGTTGAATAGGAACAGAGACATGGTGCACTGGAGTAAGACAGGTGTGGGCTAGAATCCAGCTCTATCCTGCCCAGCTCTGGCACTTCCGGCAGGTGTCCTGACTTTTTAAAGCCTCAGTTTTACTACCTGTAAAATGGGAATAATAATACTACTATCTCATGGGGTTGGTGCGAATGCAGGGTGAACTAAGATTCTGCAGATAAGGCTTATAGCTCAGCAAATATTCACTTGGCATATATAAGTGCTCAGTCAACAGTGGGCATCCTTGTGCATCTTAGAAGCACCCCACTCAGTGCCTGACTCAGTTTCCATCCAGATTGTTTGAACAAGAACACACCCCTTCTTCCTCTCCCCAATTTTGGGAGACTTGAAGTCTCAACCTTAAAGGTGCAAACCTCTAGGGCTTCAAGAGGCTCCAATTCCTGTGCAAGGCCACACTACCCAGCACAATGCTGCCCTCTGTTGATGAGGGCGGAAGAGTGCAGAGAGAGGGGGCTGATTCCTGGAGGTGGGGTGGGCGATGGCAGAGTCCTCAGAGTGAGGGCTCAGAAGCAACCACTTCCTCCGGATGCCCCCAGAAGCATTCTGTGCAGAAGGCAAGGCATAGTCACCCGCATGGCATGGTACTAAAATGAGCATCGGAGTGGTAACAACCTAAGGCCTTTCTCTGTACCGGTTGGTTCCCTACCATCAGATGCCCCTTTTCTGCCCAGACACCAGATACCCGATGCTCCAACCGTGGGATCAAAATTGTTCACCTGAGTCCATCATGCTTCCTTCAAGGACAGAGGTGGCAGTGTCCTCTGAGAAAAACCTTATAAAGCTGCTTCTCAGAATATCCGGCCTCTGATATGAGCTGCTGTTCCATGGTCCTCCAGGGCAGGAAGCTGTGGCTGACAGCATCGCAGCAGCAGAGCTTACTCTTTCTGACCTTCATTAACTCACAGTTCTCCTTGAAAAAGAGTCACTCTCCTCGCTCCTCTTGCCCCACAGCTTGGGATCCTGTGTTGTTGAGTCACATAAAAAGTCCCTTGACCATAAACTTCATATCCATGTTTAAAATAATAATAAAAATAATAATCCAGGATTCCACCCCGTCGCTCCCTTTCTCTAAGAAGAAGTGCAAGAAATGTTGCCTGAAAGCTGTCAGGTTGGGATTTGTGCACCATGCAAGATAAGAGGCTGGAGACAGCAGGGTGAGAAGAGGGTGGTCTGGAGGAAGCTGCCCTGGCCCCGTCCCCAGTTCATTGGCTGAGTCTCCTGCCTGTGGCCCAGTGCCAGCCTCTGTCAGCGTGCTGCATCCGTGGCAGCTCAGGGACTGGTGCCGCAGGCCAGCTGCCTCTGGGGAGTCCTGGGCTGCTGGCAGCTTTTAATGCTCTATGGAGGGAGGGCGTCCTTCCCCCCACTTGGGATCTGTGGCCGAGGCTGCTAAAGTCACGATTCTGCAATTTCACCCAGTTGACTCAAGAGTCTGGAGAAAGAAGGTCGGTCTTCCGGTTTCTAGAGAGGGAAGAAAAGAATCCTGTGAGTTCCTTGTATTTGTGCGTCATGTTAATTCCAAAGCAAACCAGAATTCAATAACAGTTCCCTCTGCTGATTTAAAAATACGCTTCCATACATATTGTGTCTGAGGTGTTAACAGCAGGTATTCTGGAATCATATGGCCTTCTTTTAAATCTCAACGTTTGCACCCATTAGCTGTTTGAACTTGAGCAGGTGACTTAACCTTTGTGAGCCTCAGTCTTGTTGTCTGTAAAATGGAGATAGTAATAGTATCTATTTTGTAGGATTGTTGTGAGAATGTAATAAAATCATGTATGAAATACATCATACATAAATGCTAAATAATGCCATAAAAGAAGCCAGTTAGGTATAAATCTCACAACATATGTACAGGATCTAGATTAGGAGAAACATAGAATTCTAAAGAAAGAAATCAAAGAAGCTCTGAACAAATGGAGGAATAGTCCATGTTCATGGATAGGAAGACTTTATAGTGTTAAGATGTCATTTCTTTGCAATTTGACCTATAGATTCAACACAGTCACAATCAGAACCCCAGTAAGTTATTGACGAACTGACTATAAAGTTTATATGGAAAGATGAAAGACCCAGCATACCAAACATTGAAAGAGAAACATAAACTTGGAGGACTGACACTACTTGACTTCTAGGCTTATTATAAAGCTACAGTAATCAAGACAGTGTGGTATTGGTGAAAGAATAGATAAATAGATCAATAGGGCAGAGTTGAGAGCCCTCCAATAGACCACAGACCCACAAATATAGTCAACTGAACTGACAAGGAGCAAAAGCAATTCAATGGAGAAAGGATAGTTTTTTCAATAGGTGGTGCTGAAACAATTGGACACTCACAAGCAATACAATGATTCTAGACAGAGATCTTACACCCTTCACAAAAGTTTTAACTCAAAATAGATTATGGGGCCGGCCGAGTGGCTCAGTTGGTTAAGAGCTTGCTCAAGAGTGCGAGTTCTGAGCAACAGTGGTTTGATTCCTGGCCTGAGCTGAGCAACCGCTAAGCTGCCAACAGGTGGTAGGATGGCTCAGCTAAAAAAAAAAAAAAAAAAAAAGATCTTATACCTAAATGTAAAATGCAAAACTTATACAAATTCTAGAAGATAACAGAGGAGAAAATCTGGGTGACCTTGGTTTTAGCAATGAGTTTTTAGATACAACACCAAAAGCATGATTCATAAAAGAAAAAATTGATGTTGAATTTTGTTAAAATTAAAAATGTCCACTGTGTAAAAGGCACTATTAAGAGAATGAAAAGACAAGCCATAGGATGGGAGAAAATATTTGCAAAACATATATCTGATAAAGGACTTATATCTGAAATATACAAAGACCTTTTAAAACTCAAAAGCAAAAAAAAACACAACAACAAACAACCTGATAAAAAATGGGCAAAAGATCTAAACAGATACTTCATTAAAGAAGATATACAAATGGTGGATAAGTATATGAAAAGATGCTCAACATCATATGTCATTAGGGAATTGCAAATTAACACGAGACACCACTTCTTTTAGAGATCCCACCACACACCTATTAGAATGGCTAAAAACCAAAACACTGACAATATCAAATGCTGGTGAGGATATGGAGCAACAGGAATCCTCACTGCTGGGAGAATGCAAAATGGGACAGCCACTTTGGAAGAGTCTGGCAGTGTCTTACAAAGCTACCCAGAGCATTATCATATGATCCGGTAATCACACTTCTAGATATTTACCGCCACACAAAACATGCACATAAATGTTTATAACAGCTTTATTCAGAATTACCAAAAACTGGAAGCAATCAAGATGTCCTTCTGTAGGCAAATGGATAAATAAACTGCATTGCATCCATACAATGCAATATTATTCAGTGATAAACAGAAATTAACTATCAAGTCACAAAAAGACAGGGAAAAATCCTAAATGCATATTGCTAAGTGACCTAAAGAATCCAATCTGAAAAGGTTACACACTGTATAATTCTAAGTATGGGACATTCTAGAAAAGGCAAAACTTGGACAATAAAAAGGTCAATAGCTGCCAAGGATTTGGGGAGAAGGGAGGAAGGGGTAAATAGGTGAAGCACAGTGGATTTTAGGGCAGTGAAACTATTCTATGTGATACTATAATGGTAGAAACATGATATATATTTTTCAAAACTCATAGAACTGTGCAACACAGAGTGAAACTTAGTAAACTATGGACTTTAGTTAATAATAATGTATTAGTAATGATTAATTGTAACAAATGTAGCATGCTAATGCAAAATGTTAGTAAGGAGGAGGGTATATGGGAAACCTGTACTATTTGATCAGTTTCTCTGTAAATCTAAAACTTCTAAACAATAAAGTCTATTAATTTAAAAAATCAATAGAAGACAGTTAAAAAAAGAGAGAAGTGCTAAATAAATGTCAGCTATGAAAATTATTACAGTATTTAATCCTTGTAAAGAAGACTAGATTTGTTTTATGTCCTTGGGTATACTTTTATTGTTTGTTTCTTTGTTTCTGATTATAAATGATTTATGAACTTAAGATCTATGAACGTGCAAATCAAGCATTATTTTTTTCTCTTACCAGTGAGAAAGAGGAGGTTTAGAGAACTGTCCACAATTGATGACTAAGAAATGGCAAAGCTGAGACAAAACCAAAGTAAGTAGTTGATACCTTTTCAATTCTTGTTACCCTTCAGTGACCTGAATGTGTATCAACTCCCTATTTCAGCAACATTCAACTGTGGTTGAAATTTAAAATTTCCTAACTCACCAAAAGCCCTCTAAGACTTAGCATGCTGATGTGGAGCAAGGCATAGCCTGTCCCCAAGCATGGGGACAACTAAGACATCTGGGAGGGTGCCCAGTAATTGGCTTCCCATTCTGAACAGTTGAATGAATAAAATGAACTCCAATTAAGTCATTTTAATATTTTCACAGCACAAGTGAACTTCTGATCCCCAATATATAGAGAACCAACTTTATGTGCATTCAACAATTTTGTGATATTACACAATTTTTTTTCCTCAGGAAATCGAAGTATTGACATAGGTTTCACTCCCTCCTTCTCTTTGACAATATGTTGATGATTTGTGACATTGTGCAGCAAAATGAATGATATTTAAGGCCACTGCCAGCTCTTTTAGGCATGGGGAACCTCTCTAGTTAATTGACGCTCAAAGTTATGTTCCTGTTAATCTGTTTTATCCTTTCTGCTTCAACCCCTAAAAGGGTTCCTTTCTCTAGGGAAAGGGGGCAGACCCTGGAGTTGTAGCTTATAAGTTGTTCCAGGGAGAAACCACTTCCTTTACTGACCTCTTTCCAGCAATGATTCATGATCTGGTAGATATGCGAGGAGGCCAACCGGGGCTTGTACAACCGAAATCCAGTGGTGATGTCTTCCACCACCTCAGAGTTGCTTCGGTTTTCATATGGGATTTTGCCTTCGCTGAAGACTTCCCACATCAGCACACCTAGGAGAAAGGGTGAGAACAGCACAGCTAAGCTAACGTTCACAAATAGCAAACAAACTAACCTACGTCTAGAAATCACAGGCTCCTTGACGTTAAGAGTCAAGTCCCTACCTCCAGGCAGTACAATATCAAGTCACAAACTGTGAGTTTTAAGATACAAATTCCATTTGATTTTTAAAAATACTGTGTAGACCAAGCAAAACACATCTTTAGGCTGTCCGTTTTTTGACCTCTGATTTAATCCCTTTTCTTCTTCTGCACAAAGACGAATGTCACACCCAGCTTTATCATGTGCTAAACATTCATAGGATGTCTGAGTGAGACGAGAGCTTGCAGATCACTGAACCCAGTGGTTTTCAAAGCATATTCTAGAGAACCTGAGGGCAGAATTTTTTAAAGTATGATCTCTAAAACATCTGAATAAATATCACCTCAGAGGTTTGTTCAAATGGTAGATCCTGAGCCCCAAGCCCAGACTACTGGATTTTTTTCTAAGGGGCCCTCAGAGGTGCCTCAGGAGTTTTACAAATTTGGAATCTAACTAAATAAGGCTGTTTAGCCCCCCAAGATGCCAGGATTTCTAGTGAGATTTCTATGGAAAATGGGGGTCTGCTGCTCAAAGCTGGTTTGAAACCAATTGCTTCCATGCAAACCTTGTAATGCATTGATGAATAAGGGTCCAAAGAGGCTATTTGACATGCTTAAAACAGCAAAGCTAATTAGGGCAAAAACCTTAAAATTCATGACATAGTCCAATGGCCTTGAGGTAGGCATCAAGCTCTAAGTCCACCCAGATTTCTGTTTCTCAGGATTGTGACCTCAGTTTTCTCTCCCTTCCTACTCTGTTTCCAACAGTCATTCTCATCATTAGACACTTGGGTGACACATCCCAGACAGGAATGCACTTTAGCGAAACCCTCTAATTATGACGTGCAGCAGAAAATGCCCAGGTTGACACTCTGTGGCAGAATAAACCCTATTCAGAGTTTGTAGGCGAATGTGCCAAAGTGGCCATGGCAGCGAACATCTCTTTACAGGTCCCCCAGCTTGGTGCAATGTGACCAACAGCATCCCTGACAGAGCGTGGCCGCATATCAGCCCTCCCCTGTCTATTATACGCACCGGGGAAAGGAGACTCTTCTGAGATTGCTCGAGTGCAGTTTTAGCTCTCCCCAGTTCATTCTGTAACTTAAATTTGGCCAACAAAGTCATAGCTAGGCCTGTTCAACAGGGGAACTATGTTAAGGAACACTTCAGAAGGACTCAAAGCCCTTGTTTGTTGGACATGGAGATTCTAAAATGCCGGAGAAGACGTCTTCTCCTACGAGATTGAATTAGCTTCTCCCTGGTTTCTGCTATGAGTCACTACACATGACAAACCTTCCCTTCATATAGAATGGCAAAATCAAATTCCAGCCTGTTCCTGTCCAAAGTATGATCCTTCTTGAAATCCACATCAAAGAGGTTGTCTGGTATATTTTTGTGTATACTTTCGTGTGCACAAGCTATGGCTTAGGATGTCAAGTGACAAGACCAGCAAGAATATTTAGTACTTACTGCCACACCAATAGCATTCATTCTGTCTTTCATTCAGGCCCATTTGTACTTATTAGTAATTCTAGTTTCTTATCATCGCCTGCCGACTTCATTGCCTATTGTTCTCCCACTAAGACAATGTCCCCCTTTTATGCTTGCTTGTTCCTCTGTCAGGGATGCTGTTCCTTGGATCTTCTAATGGGCACCGTTCACCCTCATCATTCAGGTCTCTGCTCAAGAGTCACTTCCTCAGAGAGGTCTTCCCAGGTCATGTATTTAAAGTAGAGCCTCCTGGGCTGGCCGAGTGGCTCAGTTGGTTAAGAGCTCTGAGCACCAGTGGTTCGATTCCCAGCCCAAGCTGAGCTGCCGCTGCGCTGCCAAAAGGTGGCAGGATGGCTCAGCTAAAAAAAATAATAATAGGGCCGGCCGAGTGGTGAGTTGGTTAAGAGCTGGCTTAGGATGCCAGAGGGCCCCGGTTTGGATCCCACATATGAGGGCCAGTGACACTGCCCTCTACAGCTAAGATGCTGAACAACAGCTGGGCTGCTGTGAGTTGCCAGTGGCAACAGCGTAGGCTGCAGCCACTGCTGCAGTGGGTTGCCATGGGCTACCATGTGTAGCCAGCAGCCAGCGTGAGCGGCCAGCAGCTGCAGTGAGCGGCCATCCAGAAGCCGGCGACTGATCTGCCTCGCCTGGGAAGAGCACAATGATGGTGCCAACTTGGGCCAATGAAGCAACGTCCTCCACAACTAGATTGAAGAACAAAAGGAAAGCAACTTGTCTGTTCCCCTTCCCCAATTCCCCAGTGCTGTTCCTATCCCCCAATTCCCCAATAAAAATCTTAAATAATAATAATAATAATAATAATAATAAATAAAATTAAATTAAATAGAGCCTCCCTCCATCCCAGTCACTCTCTAACACATGACCATTTTGTTTTATTCATATCACTTACTTACCACTACCTGATTTTATCTGACAGACATATCTTTTAGCTTGTTTACATAATTGTGATCAGTCTCCCCTAAAATTTAGCTCCAAGAGAGTAGGAGTCTTTCTTATCCTACTCACCACTGGATTGTGAGCACCTGCATTAGCCCCTGGCATATAGTAGATGTTCAATCAATTATTGTTGAATGAATGAGTAAATACTTATTGAGGTTTAAGTGTGGGAATATAATGTTGGATGAAATATGGTCCCTGCCCTCAAGGAACTCATATTCTAATCTCCTGACTCCTCCAGCTTTTGATCTCACAACAGCTATCACCAGAATCCTAAATTCCCACTCTCATTTTTATTCTCCCCCCATTTCAAAGATCTCTAAGAACAGATATAATAAGGAGGGCCCCTTCACACTTTTCACAGCTGTTATTACACACAGACTACCCATGGGACTTTCTCACAAGCAGAGCTGGTCCTGCAGCTCACCCCAGTCCCAGATCACGTGGGTGTGGGGCCAGAATGACACTCACCAAATGACCACACATCTGACTTGCTGCTATAGCGACTGAATGAGAAGACTTCCGGGGATGCCCACTTGACTGGGAATTTGGTGCCTGTGGAACTGGTGTACTGATCATCAAGGACGAACCTGGGGAGAGAATGGAGAGAGGATGTCCAAATGTCCTGGGACCTACATCCCATTCCTGAGACTGTCCCAGCACCATATCCCCAAATTACCTTGTCATCCCAAAGTCGGACACCTTGATGACTTGGTTTTCTCCCACTAAACAATTTCGGGCAGCCTGGAGAGGAGACAGTCCAAAAAAGGAAGAGAGAAACTGTTGGTGGACAAGCAGTCATTAAGGAGCTTCCTACACGTATAACCACAGCTCTTTGTTTTTCTATGTGTCGTTGTATAAGGGCATTGAGGAGCTATGTAAACAGTAATTAAACTTCACAAGTGCCTGGTGGATGTTAGCTAGGAAGTTGAACATGTAAGATCCTTTATCAGGATGAGGAGGTTTGGCCTTTTATCTTCATTCCTGTGACCCTAATGAGAAAAGAAATCTATGGCGTTGTCTAACCAATGATATGGTCTAACACAACTTGATGAGATATAAAAAATGCTAACATTAGAGATTAGAAAAAGAAACTGTAGCCCATTTGACTAAAAGAAGGATGTTTTGAGGTTCCTAACCCTTTCCCAGTTTCTCAAAAGGGAGAGTACTTGGCCCCTAATCAGTACCACAGAATGTTGCTTTGAAAGAGTCCTTAGTGACAAAACACCAGTAAGTCTCCAATTTTCATTTGCCTAGAATCCCATGGGGGGACATGTTAAAATGAATATTCTGAGCCCCAACCTCCAGAGAGTCTGAGGATGGTTTTAGAATCACCCCAAGATGATTCTGGTAGATGCCTGGACAACCCTTTGAGAAAATCTGCTTGTCTACGTCCCTCATTTTAAGAGAGGGAAACAGAGGCACAGAGAGGTGAAGAAGAAGAGGCTTTTCATTCCATTTTGGAAGAATGGAAACTGAATCTCAGAGAATGAAAGTCAGAGGCGGGGCTGTGATTAGAGTCCAGATCTGAGTCCTCATGAAACACTTCCCCACGAGGACATCCCAAAGTGGGTGGAGGAAAGAAGTTGGGAGGGGAAGGGAGGTTGCCTGTGAGCTGCTATTGACAAATGGTTCCCCAGTCTCAGCAGCTCTACGTTCCCGTGGCCATGCGCCTCCATCCTGGACCTGTAGGGGTTGCCCCGCATGCTCTTACCAGGTCCCTGTGGATGACACACGCCTCTTCCAAGTAGGCCATGCCCTCGCACACGTCCAGGCACATGCCCAGCAGGGTCTCTGCAGCAAAGAGTCCCCGTTGGCTGCGCAGGTAGTCCGACAGGCAGCCGTGCTCCATGAATTCAAACACCAGGCAGATGGGGGCCTGCTCTAGGCATACCCCATAGAGCTGGACCAGTTTGGGGTGAGAGAGTTTCCTGGAGGAAAAAGGCAAGGGGTGAGATGGGCTAAACTCAGTCTCCTAAAAATGTATCCCTCCCCCCTCTAAAAAAAAACCCCCACAAAAATCTATCATTTGAGCTGAGGCCTAAAGAAGGATGGCAGAGAGTCAGCTGGTATATGTGAGGACAAATGGAGGCTAGTGCGGCTGGCACGTCCTGGACCAGAGGAGAGATGGATAGGAGATGAGGTTGGGGAGTGGGTGAGGCCAGGCCATGACAGGCCTTGCAGACCATGGTGAGGAGCATGATTTGATTCTCCATGCCATAGGAAGCCATCGCTGGATCTGAGGAGGGAGGTGGCATGACATGGCATCACAGTGGCACAGAACATCCTCCCCGAGGCATCTTTGCATACCCTTGTTTTGGCCACTCACATCATGACTTCGGCCTCCTCTATGAAGTCCTCTTCTGACATAGCTCCTTCCTGAATGGTTTTGATGGCCACCTTGTCCTTGTTGAGCCAGTAGCCAAGGTGCACCAAGCCGAACTGTCCACTGCCGACCTCCTGCACAAATGTGAGCTCCGACGGATGAATCACCCATTTCCCTGGAGGAGGGAGAGAGGGTTTTCCAGGGTTGGCAAACAGTAGCAATGAGGTATAGGGCTACCAGGAGATTGGATAGCCCTATGTAGAATGTTAGCCTATTGTTAATATTACCCAAAGCTGGCAAAGGGCATATGCCCTAGATTTAGAACTATCATAGATAAAATTATTATCCTTCTTTCCAAATGATAGCATAGGATATGCATTTAAACCATGAAAAATGTATGTAGGGAAGATTACATGGAAAGAGGAAGGAGGATGGCATGAATCAAGATATTAAAGAAAGTAAACGAAAGAGTTCTTGTAAGGTCCCGTTTTCTATATCTGATTGAAAATTTTTTATTGTCATTTTTCATACAGAGCAAATTTCATTTGAGCTGGCCATTCACTCATTTATTTACCCATCAAAAGGACCTACTATGTACACAGCACTCTGCTAGGTCTTAGTAGGGATGGGAGTAAGGAGGTGGATTCCAAGAGGACCAGTACAGAGGTACCAGCCAGCACAGTGTTTGGCACATGGTAGGCAAACAAATGCTTCTGGGTGCTGCCAGCTTACAGCTCTTGCAATGGACCTGTACCCAGCAAACTACATGATACAGAGAGGTTCTAGAGGATAAGTGGATACACAGTGTTAAGGTATAATTTTTTAATAGTATTAAGTACTATGAAGGGCTTAGGTATTCCATAAGCACTTCATTGATGAACTCTTAACTAAACTAAACTCTTAACTACTCTTAACTAAAACCAATGGACTTTGATTTGGCCTACATACATGCATATGCGCATACATACACCTGTTTTACTCACATACATTGCAAATGTTCATAGGTGCACACCATCTCCAGATATACAGCGTACCTGTTCTAATGGTCATTTTAGCTCTAGGGAAGAGATAGGTTCATGGAAAGTCCATTTAGATTTGCCCTAGGCCTTTATGGGCATGAGTTTTAGTGCAAACGTTGTGGAATGGATGGCTCACCGTATCTCAGCCCTGCTGTCACTGGAGCTTTCTGCCTCCAAGAACAAACTGGGTAGCGAAGTCGCGTGACCAGGCCTGGGTTGATTAAAAAGCAAAACGCTGTGGTTAGAGCTTTACTGCAGTCATCGTCCAAGTTAAGTCACCAGGTAAAAATATAATTCAGTGCAAAAATCTTCTTTTTTTTATTCCGGAAAACAAATCCCAAAGCCCAATCACTGAAATGATACACCCTCTCTGAAAAAAGACATACACACAGGCGGGCAGGTGGTGAAATGCCACACTTCCTCCCACAGCGAATTTGCTAATGGAAAATATGTAATATAATCGAATATTGGGCACCCTTTTCTATGTGCATATTTAGTTATTATTTAAGATCAGCTTGTCTGACATGAAGAAGCCAGGCTGGGTGTTCGTCACTTTCCTCCAAGTTCCTGTGGGAGGGTCCCCCTCTTGTCCTGCAGAACTCACCTCCTCCGTTGTGCTGGTGATAATTGATGAGGAGAGGGATGGAATCAAACACATACTTTTCAGCCACATAGTATCGCTTGGGATTGTCATTCGTTTCTTTAATGTGATAGTGCTTTATACAGGGATTGTTCTCACTTAAACAAATGAAAGATAAATGCAGTGATTATTAGGAAGTTATGTCTAGACACAACCATGTTGACTGGCATCAGATTCCTATTAGCTTTGTTTTTATTAACCCTCTTACAAGGATGGCAGACATATTTCAACCTCTGTCAGTCTTGGCAGGCTGGCCCTGGGTGCTGTGTTAAGGATCCTAAGGCTGCATCTGGACCAATTGGAGTCAGCACCGTGATGTTTCTTCCACAACCACAAAGTGGGGAATCGTCTCGTACGTGCTACACGTTTGCCTTCTCTGCTCTATGGCTGTAACTAATCATCAGCATATGTTGAGGAGGTATCTTGGGCTCCTTCGTACTTATTTAACTTTGTCCAGCAAAGAGTTAACATGGCAGCCCCGACTGCTATTCTGAGAAAGGACTGCTGGCAAGGTTGGCCCTAGGGTGGCACCTGAGAATCTGGATTTCGGGAGGGTTCTCACCATTCTCTAACTGATAGGAGTGGCTCCCTGTGCCTGAATTGTTTGTATAAACAATGTGGTTTATGCTCAATGCCTGCTTTTGTTCTGGGAGTCTGGGATTTTGCTATGTGCTAAGGCAGAGGGTGCCTACGTGGCCAGCCCCTGATCCAAAAAAACCCCCAAAAAACAAAAAACAAAAAGACCAAAAACAAAACAAAAAAAACAAAGCCTTGGACACTGAGACTCAAGAGCTTCCCTGGTGACAATGCTTCGCCCCTGTTATCGCAACTTGTTGCTGGAGGAATTAAACATATCCTGTGTGACTCCACAGGAAGAGGATTCTTGGAAGCTTGTGTTCAGTTTCCTCTGAGTTTTGTCCCATGCATGTAACTTTTCCTTTTGCTGATTTTGCTTTGTATCCTTTCACTGTAATAAATCTTAGCCTTGAGCACAACTATATGCTGAGTCCTGCGTGTCTTCCTAGTGAATCACCGAACCTGGGAGTGGCCTTGGGGACCCCAGACACAGCTTTATTTCTCACTCCTTTTCCATCCTACCGTATGGAGTTCTCGGTCACTTTCATCACCGTCCCCTGTGCAGGGCAGAGGCACGGCCCCTCTGTGACATGCACTGGGTTCTCCCCATCCCTGGCAGTGCCCTTCCTCTTCGCCAACTGTCTAAACCCTGCTCTGGCTCCGAGTCTTGCTCATGTCCTCCGTCCTCCAACAAGTGTTCTCTGAGGACCCCTTAATAATTATTTTTCTCTCTTTTCTTAGTTCTTTCTGGACTTTGGTCATGGCCAACCTGCTTAGTTTTTGCTAAGTTTCTAATTAGAAAGGAATTCTAGACCTGGATAGGCTCTTAGGCATAATTTTACAGAGAAGGAAACCAAGGTCAGGAGAAGGGCAGACACGCAGTGAGCGTCTAGCAGGCAGCTGGCTGGAGCATGAACGGGGCTTGACCACCTGAGCCCCATTGCTTCAGGGAGATACCAGAAGCTCTCTGAGCCTCAGTTTCTTCTGTGTGAAGGAGCATAGTAACACCTGCCTGCAGGGCTTATAGGGTTGGAAACACCCTGTCAAGTTCTGGCATATAGTAAGGACCCAATAAATGGTAGGTAGCTTTATTAGCAGAGCGGGAACTAGAGTTCATATCTTCTCATTTCCAGTGTCTTTTTTTATTATTCTATGCAATTAATTATAAACTCATCAAATACGCAGCCAGATATTTTCTTCCTTTACAGCTCTGCACTCAGGGATGTTAACTGAGCAGAGAACCTGGCATCCAGTCCCAGCTCTCTGTCACTTTCCAGCTAAGTGACTATGGTTATGGCCTTCATCTCTCTAACCTTGGTTTTCTCAGAGAGATCAGAGGACACACATCCCTCCCAGAGACCGCTCTGACCCTGGTCCTGTCTGACGTTGCTGTGTGTGACACCTTCCTTGCCCACCAGGGTTAATACCATACCTTACGACGGCCTTGGTGAAAACAGACACAGTATATGTTCCTGGAGTCCTAGAATCTCGTACCATGAAGGCTCCTTCTTTGCCCTGGAATGGTTAGTAAGAATGGAAGGTTAGTGATCCCAGGAAGCCAGGCTCATGTACCCAGCTCCACTTTCTTGCCTGTGAGTGGAAGATACACTGCAGGCCAGCTTGGCTTAGAGCAGACTGACAGCAATCATGGATACTATTTCATATATTCATCCTGAGCTTTTGCCGAGGGTCAGAGACTATTCTAGTGGTGATACAAGCAGTGACTGAACACAGACACAAGCTCTGCCTTCGTGAAGCTCACCACATACCAGACTCACTACAGATATTGTCCAATCCTTTCTACAACGCTGCAGTCTAGATGGTACTGTCTTCAATTCCTGATACAGAGGCTGAGTGCCAAGAGCACTTGAGTGACTTTCTTGGGACCCACAACTAGTCAGTGGCAGACCTGGGATTAGAACCTTGAACATGGCACGTGAGCAAAGCCCATGCTCTCTCTACTACTCCATGATGCCTCCATTCAACACATCTTAGAAGCCACTTCTCCATTCCCCAACAAGGGCACAAAGCTTTCTGTCCTGGGAGCTTCATCAGTTCCTTAATAAGAATATATATTTTTAGGCCCTTTCCAAAGTGCTGATTTTGCTGTAGGGCAAAAGGAGAAAAAAAAACATGAAGCTCCCGGTTGCATGAGAGAAGTGGAAAGAAGGGAAAGCCCCCAAAATGCACCCTTTATATTCCCCACAACAATTTTGCTAGCACTGATGAGACTAGTACAAGTAAATGGATATACCAGTTTATTCATTCCTGGTGGGAACTTTACCATCTTAACTCTGTTTTGAGTACTTCATGTCTAGTGCTCTGTTCCCTGTAAATCTGTGCTGGCAATATTTGCAACGTTCATTATTATTAACTTAAACCTAGTAATGACCTTAAATGAAGGCCAAAGAGTCACAGGGGCCCTGTGTGGTGGGTGCACACTTGTAGTATTATATGTAGAGAAAGGTATATACAGTTTAGAAAAACACAAGCTCCTCCACCCCCCAAATCCAAAGGTGGGTTGTCTACACATGAAAATAATACACATAGATGGCCATGCTAGTTGTTTGAATCCTAGAATCTCAGAGTTGGAAAGGACCATATGAAGATTTAACTCAAGGCTATCCCAACCTCAGCATGGTTGACATTTTCAGCCCTGTAATTCTTTTTTGTAGGGGGCTGACCTGTGGTTTACAGGATCTTTAGTAGCATCGTTGGCCTCTAACGACCAGGTGCCAGACAATGTCAAATGTTCCCTGGGGGACAAAATTGTCCCAGCTAAGAGCCACTGATCTGGCCTAACTCCTTAAAACCCTGTGTCCTAGACTTTGTGGATTATCACAACTACTGAAACCATCTAAAGCACACAAAAAAGACAAAACAAAACAGCAACAGCAAACAGCTGACCATGCTCTACCCCATATCTGTGTACTTAGGGTCTCCAGGACTGGGACCCTGGGACCTGAACTTTTTTAAAGCTTGCCATGTGATTCTTCTAGACACCCAGGTTTGAAATCCACCAACTCAACTGAACACACAGCTCTTATTTATAACAGTCTGACGAGCAGTCTCTGCCTCTCCAAAGAGCACTAATAATTAGAAAGCTCATCCTTGCACAGAGACATAACCTGCTTTCTCAAACTTGGCCTTAAACTTGCAACGTGTGTATGAGGCAGGTGGGGGACAATTGGCCCTGACATCATTGTGCATTCTTGCCAAACCTACAATTTACCACATAAACTTTGTGAAACTCCCCAAAATCTTATCTCTGCTGGGAGCTGCCAGAGTCTGTTTTGAAATTTGAAGGGGATAGAGGGTGAAGGAATTGGTTGAAGGGGGACAAAAGGTACAAACTTCCAGTTATAAAATAAATAAGTCATGCGGGTGTAATATACAGCATGGTACCTATAGTTAATGATACTGTAATGCAGATTTAAAAGTTGCTAAGAGAGCAGATCTTAAAAGTTCTTATTATAAGAAAAAAAATCGTAACCATGTCTGGTGATGGGCATTAACGAAACTTATCGTGGTAATCGGTTTGCAAAATATATATATATCAAATCATGGTGTTGTACAACTAAAACTTGTACAATGTTATATGTCCATTTTATCTCAGTGAAACTGGAAGGAAAAAAAGAAAGAAATCTGAAGCTGAGCAGGCCTCTGTTGTTCACCGTGGTGTCCCTTTTCCCCAATACAGACAGCAGCTTGGGCGGCCCTCGCTGCTGCCTGAAAACGGGGGGAGAATCCAGGAAAATGCAGAAAGCAACTACATATCTTTTTCTAAGGCGTCTTGAAACAGTCCTAGGGGTTTGTCTTTGAACACCGAGAGTTTACTTTAATAATTTTGTATTACATGATTTTTTTTAATTCAAGAAAATGAGTTATAGATCTTTCTGGGACAATAATGCGATCTTGTGCCTGTGGTGAGCTTTCTGCATTCTCGACCATGTGTCCCATGCAGAATCTTGTATGTGGTGAGGACAGAGGAGAGCTGACCAGATTCTTCTTACTTCTCTTTTCTCAGATATGAATGGAAACTGTTTATCCAATAATGTATTAAAGGTCCGCTTTTTTTTTTTTTTTTTTTGCTGAGCCATCCTGCCACCTGTGGGCAGCTCAGCAGCAGCTCAGCTCAGGCTGGGAATTGAACCGCTGTTGCTCAGAGCTCAAACTCTTGAGCGAGCTCTTAACCAACTGAACCACTCAGCTGGCTCTTTAAAGACCCTTTTTACTTTTGCTTACAGACCATCCTTTAAAAAAAAAACCCGATTTTCCAAAAATTATATTTCCCCCTTTGGAGTCAGCAGTTTTCTGAAGTAAAAGTTGTTTTTGTGACACCAAACAGCCAAGATTAGTTCATTAAATTTTAAAATAGCTTTTGAGGAATAATTTATGTACCATGAAATTCTCCCATTTTCACTGTACATTTTCAATGATTTTCAGTACATTGATAGAGTTGTGTAAGCATCACCACAACCTAATTTTACAGCATTGCTATCACTCCAAAAAGACATTCAGTCTCACTTGCACCCCTGCCATTGTAATATGCTTTCTGTCTCTATAGATTTGCTTATTCTAGGCATTTCATATAATGAAGTAATATAATACGTGGTTTTCTGTGTCTGGCTTCTTTCACTTAGCATATTGTTTTCAAGGTTCATCCAAGTTGTAGCATATATTGGGACTTCATTCCCTTTTATGATTGGTAGGCCATCGTATGAATCTACCACACTTTGTTTATCCATTCTTCAGTGGAGGGACATTTGGATTATTTGCACATTTTGGCTACTGTGAATAGTGACTTTGTGCCTGGCTTCCTTATCCCTATATCCTGTGTGTGCTATTCAGCCACGTATTATGTGTAGCATGGATTGTCTTCAAAATTTCCTCACTTTGGTGAGATAGTGAAGCTTTTGCTCTTGCCTCATTGAAATGGGATGGGTTAAACTCAAGGCAGGAAGAAACAAAACTTCAACAGAGGCAGACTTTATCTGCGTATGTAACTCATTCTAAATTTAATTAAGAGTGTTTTGTTGATGTTGATCTTTCAAAGAAGCCATTTTTCTTTCTAATCGTAATCGGAGTGGGGCCCAACTGTTAACAAGAACAACTAATCCAAAGACATGAGCCAAAGGAGAGGTTAGGTTTGTAGTCAGCTCTGCTGGGTACAGGAGGTTCACAGCTCTTTCTCCATCATAGTTGCTCTGGGTGACATTCAGTGATGGTGACAGGAAACTCTGGTTTGGGGCTGGGCAGCCTAGAGTTCTGAGGAAAATGAGGCATGTGCCTTACCACCTACTTCCTGCAAGGGGCTCAGGGGAAGTCACAACTACCAAGAACATTGGAGCCTAAAGGGTCTTTGTTCATATCACCACCATGCAAGGGGGTGATGACTGACCTGTGCAGTGTAGCTGGGGTGGGAGGGGCCTTGCTCCCATGGGACCTTTTCAAGATCTTAATTTACCTTTGACTACTTTGCCTAGAAAAATAAAATAAATAAGCAATAATACAAAAAACAATCATGCCAAGGAGGTAAACTATATGGATGGGAAATGTAGGGATAGAAGAATAGAATTTAATTCATATATTCCCTTATTAACTGTGTGTGGTGTATGCATGTGTATGTGTGCGTGCATACGTGTGTGTGTGTGTGTGTGTGTGTGTGTGTGTGTGTGTGAAGCACCCCTACTCTAGTCTAGAGATTATGCCATTGATTTACACTCTGAACGTGGCCTTTGGAACTTTACTCGCCTATAATACAAAAGGGATGAACCAGATGTTCTTTAAAGAGAATTCTCACTGTAACAGCCTATAATTCTGTGAATTCCAGATATTTCCTTATTAAATGTATGAGATTCAGTTTCCTCTGCTGTAAGATGACCTTTGTAAGGTTGCTGGGAGAATTAAAATGCAGAGAACAGTTCCTGGAATATGATACCAGAGCAAGGACGACTGACGCTGTCGTTGTCGTTATCATCACGTGCTATGGTATACCATCTGTTGGAAGTATTAATTCCACTGTCTGCCTTCAGCGGAGACATATTGATGTGTTAGGAGTATCTTTCTTTCTGTCCATATGATTTGAAGGTCATCTTACAGAAGATAGTTTTGACAGACAGGGTAGGTTATTGCAAAAAAGATGGACTGGCAACTCATAGCCTTGTCATGCTGCATCATACTGTAAGAGTATCTGACACATAGTCACTCTATTCTGGAGATGGTTCTCTTGTTCTCTTGAAACAAACCCAATATTTAGTCAATATTGCATCTTTAACTAATGACATCTTAGAATCATTGAAATATGATAAACGAATATGTTAAAGAAGGCTTCTGCCTGAAATTCAGGTCACTTGATGTGTGTGATGCTGAAAGGTATGGAGGACATGCTTGCAAAGAATTTACCCTTTACCTAAATGGGTTAAGACGGAAGAGAAACTGCTGAGATCCAAGGCAGAGTGAGAACGAGGCCAGTGGAGAAGCACTGTGAGGGTCAAAGGTGGTGAAAACCACATTCTCTGACCAGGGAGACGGGAAGCATGAGGGGCTTCTTAGAGGAGTGTTATCTGAAGAACTGATGGGACAACATAGGAGATGCTTTTCTGCCATTCTCAAACTTGGGTAAGTCCCAGAATTACGTGGATGCCATAAACATGCAATTTTCAGTGCTATTCAAAGTGTGGTCTATGGAGGGATGCCAGTTGGCAAATTGTTACTGGTCTACTACTGGCAAAACAAGAAATGGAGAGTGAGCACTGAGAAACTTTTTATAGCAATCAGACAGAGTAATTTTATGTCTAATAAATCTAATTAGAATTGGACTTGCATTTTAAATATATTTGCTTCTTTTTAATTTTTTTCCATTCATTTTTATTGTATTTTACAAAATATAAATCCGTGGCAAATGGGAAATTGAAAACAAACCACAAAAAGGGATCCGTCAACACAGATATTTTGAGAGGCAGTCCCCTAGAATAACAAATGATCTCCTGGCCCAGAAAGAGTGGGTTCACCTTGGGTGCCAATTAATCAATGGCAGCTACTGAAACACTGTATTGAAAAGGACCCCAAAGTCATGGACTGTGATCACCTGTCTCAGTCATAGGACAGAAGCAGAGATTGGCAGTATGAGTGCTGGGTAATTGTCATCCCTGATTTAGTCCAATGCTCATCTCGAACTCATTGAGAAACTGAGGCCCAGAAGGAAGATGTTCCCAAAGTCACACACTGAGTTGGTGACAGAGCAGGGACCAGGACCCAGTCCTTTCCCCACCGCACCATACCTTCTCTCTTCTCATCCCTCTCTCCCTTAATCCTTACATCCCTGAATGAGACCAGTCCTGCTACTCACACTGCATGACTCTCAAGAACTGTTGCATGAAAAATATGTCAAAACTAGTGATGTATTTCCTCTGCACCCACAGCCCAACCAGGAAGAATCTGAGTCACAGCCACCCCCAATCTAGCCAGAGAAGCATGCAAGAAGACAGCCCCATAAGCCATGGGGGTAAGTCATCACAGCCGGGAAGACCACTGCACCTGTGGCAATGGTTTCTTATCAATGCCAAGGCCTTCAGCCCTCCCCAGGTTTCTTACCCTGTTTTATGCTTGTCCTGTAAACCCCCAGAATATTTTTACCAGACACGAAAACCACTGTAAATCCAATATATTGACTCACTGCCTTGGCATAAACCACAGTATGGTTGAAGAAAAAAACCCCAACACAATTCATTTTATTTTTAGTCAAAAAAGCAGGTTAGGGAGACTTACTGTGTCCAAAAGAAGTTTTTCAGCTTTGTCTCGGCTGATACTCTTATTGTACCACCTGAAAGTAGGAAAAAGCCATATGTAAATGACATTTTACAAATTTTTATGATTCACTTTTAAAAGATAATTAATGCCAGAAAATAATTTGGTCATTTTTTCTGTTTCTACCAGTGCTTTCAAACTCAAAAGCAAAGCCTGGAGTAATTGGTAAAATATTGATAGTTTTTGAAGCTGGGGTTTGGGTTCATTATATTTTTTTCTCTACTTTTGTGCATGTTGGAAATTTTCCATAATAAAAATTTGGAAAGCATTTATCTTCTACTTCATTTCATAAGTCAGTGGGTGGTTATAAGTAGGATGATGCTAGGGCAGCTATAAAAATTTAATACAAATTTGAAAGTGTAGCAAATATCCTTTAAAAACAATTGCAGTACTTTCCTCTTTAAGAGTAGTTTTCAAGATCTTCTACAAAGTAATTACATTATTTTTATAATTTAGTGTCTGGTGAAAAAAAAAAAACCAGAAGGTGGTATAGAAGAATATGAGTTACTTTTAGGAATGAAGTTTTGGATTTTGTCATTAGTACTTGAGCCACATCCTGGCCTCCCTGGCCACTTATTAAGTAAGAGGAGATAGAGCCAGCATCAGTTATCAGTTAGTTTTGGACATTAATAAACTCAGGAGGAGAGAAGTTCTGGGTGGGGAAGGAACACCACTTACCAAGCCTGTTTGGTTCATGTGCAAACTCTTATCAATTAGGAATGGCTGCCTTGAGCTGTGCACCTCGGATCAGTGGGTGTGTCACTATCTAAGAGTGATGTCTACCCTGCATTCAGGCCTGGGAAGGGGATGCCAGCAAGAGTGCCATGATTTTCCCTACCATTATCATGTCTGACCCTTCATTTTAAGGAGAAGGGATCTGAGATTCAACCAACCCGGTGAAAAAACTTGCCCAAGGTCATGCCTCTCCGACATAGGCAGGAAACCTGAAGTCAATCCATGGCAATGGATTTACCAGCCCATGATTATATTCTCAGGTGGTACATTTTTGAGTTCTTATGCAGATATCACATGCAACTAGATAACATCATTAAGATCAAGGATTAAAACATCATCATGTCAGGTATTTTTTTATATACCCAGTTATATACTGAATGTCTGGATGTTTGTAAGCCATTTTATTGTCTAGCTCTGATTCCATATCTGGAAAGCGCAAACTGACAGTGGGCAGAGTAAAATGGGGCACACAGACTGTTCTGTTTGTATGATGTAGTGTTTCATTTAAAATCAACATAAAATCCCTTCAGGCGGGGGGATATACTTGGCCCAGGCTCCACCATTCTCTATTGCTTTATAGCCTGTAGGAATTTTGAGTTTGCACTCCTCTATCATAAATGAAGAGATTCTGATTAAAAGCAAAAACAAACAAAACTTCCCAGTCTAGTGAGCATTTGAAATACACGTCTATTTTATTTTTTTTTCCTAAAGGCATTGACTATTAAAAAAAAAAAGAATTTTATTTAGGCATATTTTATACATGTTTCATTACAGCTCCAGCATTCTTGGACCTGATGACCCTTCTGTTAGCTGAGGGAGGGGCTACTCACAGATGCTTGGTCAAAATGAATTTCAGGTTGAGAGGCTCTTCAGAAAGTGATAGTTCTTTGTTATAGAATTGATTAGAATTTCAGCAACAAATAACTTGACCACATTGGAACAAATAACCCAAGTGAGTTAATAGAAGTCTTCATTAACTAGTATTCTTCAACACTGGTATCTTATAATTGGTGAGGATTTAAAAAGTTTTTTTAAATTTTTAGATAATTTCAAATTTATGGAAAAGTTGTAAAATACTATAAAAGAACTCCCATATACACTTAACCCAGGTGAACCAATTACTTACATTGTACACATTTGCTTTACCATTCTCTCTGGAGAATATATATATATATATATATATATATATATATATATATATATATATATTTAATCATTTGAGAGTAAACTTTTACTCCTAAGTACTTCAGTATGTATTTCAAACAAATAGAATATACACTTACATAACCATAGTATAATTACCCAAATCAGGGATTTAACATTGCTTATAACACTATTATTTAATTTCAGACTTTGTTCAACTTTAATCAATTGTCCCAATAAAGTGTTTCGTAAGTATTTTTTAAAAATTGTTGAAGGTGCAATCCAGGATTTCTAGTGCATTTAGTTACCATATGTCTTTATTCCCCTTTAACGTGGACCAGTTTCTCAGCTCTTATTTTGTTTTATCGTGTTAGCATTTTTTGAAGAGCGCAGGCCAGTTATTTTGTAGAATATACCTCAGTTTGGATTTGTCTATTATTTCCTCATGACTAAACTGAGGTTACGCATGTTTGGGCAGGAATATCATGGAAGTGATGTGTCCTCAGTGCATCTAATCAGGAGACACACGATGTCTGTTTGCTCCATTATTGATCATTTGGTTAAGATGGCGTCTACCAGGTATTTTCACTTTGCTATTAAGAAGTGACCTGTGAGAAGATACTTTGAGACTATGTAAATATTAAACTTTCACCCCCTAGTTGTGACATGCATTGATAGTTCTCGCCTGAATCAGTTGATACTTAGAGTTACAAAATGGTGATTTTTAAATGTTATCACCCCTTCTACATTTATGAGTTGAAATTCTATTGTAACAAAGCTTTCTCTTCTTTTTTATTTTCTTGTTTACTTATCTATTGAGGTATCTATTTCTTGGGGAGTCTTATTTTACAATGGATTATAGTCCGTGTCTGTCATTATTTATTTTGATACTCAAATTGCCCCTGATTTGGTCCGAAGGAGCATTTTAAAGCTGTACTCATTTGACATGTCCACATTATTTTAAAAGATTTGGTGGGTATTTCTTTACTTTTTGGTGCATTAAGATGTTCAGAGTTTACCTTATTCTTTCCCTGCCCCACCTCGGAATCCCCAAACCATTTCTCCAAGAAGTCCTGGCTGTTTTTAGTGGTAAGTGTTATTTAGAAACCAAGATCCGGGTATGCACATTGTTACTGTGTATTAACAAAGGCTTCTGGGCCTTTCAGCAGCTGTGCTAGGAAATATATATGCACGGTGAATAGTCCATATACTGCAATTGGATTTCATTAAACATTAAGTAGTTCCATTACAATTATATCCATGTGAACTCTTCCTCTAAATAATAGCTTGAAATAAACAACATAAGCTAAGCAGAGATTTAATACCTATTTGTCTGCTATTTTGGTACTGGAAGTATTAAACCATGTTTTACATCAGTTTGTATTTGATCCAGTGTTCATAGTGGGTTTTTTTTGTTTGTTTGTTTTTTGGGTTTTTTTGCCTTTTCAAGTAAGACCAATATTCCTCGGATTCCCAGAAGAATCTTTTCCTTTTACTACAATCTGTGCACGCATCTGAGAAGAATTCCTTTTTGGTCACAGGGTCAAAGGGCAGATAAGTGCTCATACCCCACNCCCGCCCCTTCTATGTAAAGTATTTCTTGACTGTATTAGGGATCAGAGTACAGGGCAGAAGAAAGTGGGTTACAAAGAGAAAACACCTGGTACTTTCATAACGAACCAATAATTGACTCTTAATCTAAGGAAGAATCCTTAGTACCATATTTTGGAAAAATAAATAAAATGTCTTACTCATAGGTTTCCAGGTTATTTGGAGACTTTTCCACCAGATAACTGCTTGGTACATATCCTTCGTGCCTGTTAAAAGAAAAAGCAATGTTTAGACTAATATAGGACTAATGTTTGCCTCTCCATTTTATAAATTTAATCCACGAAAAGTCACATAAAGATGGGGGAGTCTCACATTACGTGGCATTTGTGAGAAGACATTTTAAAGTTTTAGAATAAAAGAGTTGCTAAATATAGCAACCTGCTGTCTGCTAAAGGCAGTCGATTTCACTACTAATGCATGGACCATAATAAATTAGACATGGCTATTTTACTTGAAAAGCTCCACTCGTTGCTCTCATAAAAGTTTCCTCTACCGGAAAAAAAAAGATTAATATGCAATCTCTATTTTCTTTAAGGAAACATTGTTCTGTGTGTAATAGTCAGTATTTTTTCCACTTTAGTGCTATTATTTCATAGTCAGGAAACCAAAATAATTAAAATAAAAAGAATTACTTTCCAGCCACAGGTGCCCAAAAATACTGCCAGCCAGCATTGTAAGTTTGAATTCAAAGCCTCCCTAATAATTTTTTAATTGTGCTCCTTCAGACATGCGTGGTAGAACATGAGAAAAAAAGTATAAAGTCATACTGGATTGGGGCGGGGGGTGGGGGGAGTCTCTTTGGAGCAGGAATAAATAATTGTGCATAAACAAAGACATATGGATAAAGAAGCTAATAAGCAAATCGGAATACTTTATATTTGTGGTAGCCTTGTACTTTTCACAGCACTTTCATATGCATTATTGCATTTAATACCACAAGGTGAGACAGTCCCCTTACTCTCTGGGCCTCTGGCTTCGTGCCTGTAAAATGAGTGACCTAAACCAGATTACACAAAATATCCTTCCAGACTCTGCCGATATAGCAAAGAATGTCCGATAGTGTCTTGCTCTTTACTTCACAGAGGGTTTTAATTTTTGGATGGTAAGGCTATTTTTCAATCTAGTTATTATGTTTAATGGGGAATGTATCATCTATTCCACAGAATTTTTTTGAGAACAGTGACAAAAGCAAGGCTAAGGGTGTCAAATATGGGATGATTGCCTCATGTTTTTGTGCCCATGTCAGACATTGCTACGTCAATCATGGCATGCTTTCCTTGGAAAATTGGACATCCAGCCTCAGAATCATCCTTAACACAGTGCTCAAGGCAGTCAGTGCCAATTGATGGGAGTCAACTTGTTCTGAAATTGCTATTTCTTTTATATATCTTTCTTTTACAATTCTCCTTATATCTGTTTTTGCCACACCGTATGTTTACAATTACATTAATAGGTCAAATTCTAGTTTTGCAAATAGAATAACTGCATTTTAATGTGCCAAAGCTGGGTTTTATCTACACAAATGGTGATAATTCTCTTCACTTGTATGTGGCTATAGAATTTACAAAGTCCTATCACTTTCATCATCTCACTGATTGTTCTCAGCATTCTGAAATAGACAAAGCTGATATTATCGGTCTATCTGCATTTTACAGAAAAGGAAATGGATTCACAGAGGTTGAGTGCCTTTTCCAAAGTCCTAAGCAACACGAGCCACTGACACTAAAGTCCAGCTCTTCCGTCTTGCCATCTTGTGTACTTTCCACTACACCACACGATTACCCAGCCAACTGGAAATTCCCACCCGCTGGTTGGCCCCCAGGGTGTCCTCTGCCAAGCCTTTTGAAGTGCAGAGCTGAGCCTTTCCACAGGCCACTGTACAAAGGGTAAGCCGTCATTTGGGGAAGTGAGGCCCAGGAGAAGAAATTTCCTGGTACTTTAGGTGTGCTAAATAAATGTCAGTTGATTGAAGGGATGAATTTCTGACTAAGTTTTCTCTGGTGTCTGGTAGAGCCAGGCAGTCTCGAAACTGCTTCGGATGTGGCCTCCCATCATAGCCAGAGAGGTGATGTGACGGGTCTTGTTTGCCTCCGCGAGTCAAATAGAGAGAGGGAGGTTCCGAATGAGGGGCTCTGGGGCCTGTCCTCAGCGAGCAAGCCACACTGCCTCGCAGACCACAATTCTTGACCTAGTATATTTTATACCCCTCCTTTACTCCTACAGTGGAGCTCATAAGGTTGCTTAAAAAGCAGGTAGATGCCTTGGAAATCTAAGTTTTGATGTGTGTAAAAAACAAAACCTTAAAGATATCCGTGCCCCTTATATTTAGTGATCAGATTGTCTTTTTTTTTTTTTTTTAAGTTTAATGTTTCTTGGTGTTGACGCTCCCATGCCCTGTTGGTGGGAATGTAAAGTTGGCAATCTTTTTGAGGGAATTATCTATCAAAATTAAGATGTCACATACTCTAACTCAATAGTTCCATAGTTAGAAATGCAGGATACATATTTTTTAAAGAAAAAAACCCTATATTTTCAAAAAATGTGATTTTTCAAATATATATATATATTTGAAACAAATATATATATTTGTTTCAAAAGATTGCCAGCATGCATGGGCAGTACAAGATCTTCATTGCAGCCTTGTTTAAAATAACAAAGAAAACAAATGACCTGGAAACTAAATGCCCTGCCATAAAAGATTATTTAAATATTTATAAATACAAGCATACATTCTAAAGCTAAGCTATTATTTTTTAAATGAGGTAGTTTTGTATCTGCTGATATGAAAAGATTTCCAAGATATATCATTAAAGGTTAAAACCAAGGTGAAGGGCAGAATGGACCACCTTCATGCAAATGTAAAAAAGAACATATTGTATATGTGCAACTTTTTGTTCTTTGTCTGAGATACACAAGGAAGAGTTAATAATGATTACTTTTACAATTGATGTGGAAACAAATGCAGGGTGACTTATTTTTCATATATTCTCTCTCCTGTTAGTTTTGGTTTTTTTAAATAAAACATTGACACAGGCTATCCAGATGTTGCAATGGTGGACTGTTTTTTTTCTTCTCTTTTTTATGTTTTTGCATTAGTAATAACCTCATACTTTAAAAATGTTTAAACCCTTAATATTAATATGCAAGGATGCTCACTGAGGTGTTGTTAATATTGGCAAAATAGCGAAAACAGCCTAAGACCCCAACAAGAGAATTTCCTAAATTATGGTACATTTTTCTGTTGGATTTATGTAGTCATTGAAATCATATTCCCAAGAATATTCCTAGATAAGTGTAAATACTTTTGATATATTAAAAGGAAAAAATAAAGCCTTAAAAAACAGTGTGAATCTGATGCCTTTAAACAGAGCACTAGTATTTAAGTCATACACATCCCAGAGCATTCTGAACAATAATTTTACTGTACTTCAGAGCAGAGAAGGGCTCATAAGATTTTTTTCATTCCAAAGCCCCATAGTGGACAGTTGGTTTTTGTGCAACCTTATTTTCTCCATTAATTATTTGGGTGTCTAGTTCAAAGATTGTTGGTGTAACTAAATCTTTAGTTTAGTATTTTCTTCCCAATGCGTCTTAATGTAACCACCAATTTGCACCATCTCTACATGCCTTTTCTTTCCACCAAAAAGAAGCCCTTCACAATGGGATGAACCTTCAGTCTCACTTAAATGCTCAGGAACAGTTAGTGCTTCTTTGTGGAACAAATTGCCCATCTCCCAAACTGTGGATGTCAATGGAAAACCCCAGGAGAATTTTAGATGAGTTTAGACACCAGGAAAGAATGATAAGGTGCAGGGAGCAAACATCGCAAGTGACTGCCTCCCAACCACTTCTGAAAAGTGCAAAAACGCCCCTCAACGACTTCTTCCTTCCTCTTCCTTCTGCCTGTGCTCTCCTCACCTCTATGTGCAATGGTCATGTTGAAAGAAGCAGAACAAATCACCCAGTATTTTCTGTTTCCACCTCACCTCAATCGCTGGACGGCGGCCACAGAAATGTCTTACCCGTTCTTGTCTTGTACTCTCCACCAGTGAATCTCAGTACTGTCCAGTAGATAGTATTCATCATTGCACTGTAGCGTGAGTTCCTGAGGGTCATTTGTTTGGTAGTCATACAAGGCAATGACCAGGGTTTCTTCATGTTCATGAAGTGATCGCTGGAGGAGGGAGACCACAATATCAAGCCAAGATGTAGAAAGGAACTAAACTACAGAGCAAGGTCAGTAAGTCCCTGAGCTGTACCTTGCTCCTGGATCAATGCCTGGTGCAACACCAGTTCCTACAATCCACTGGGGTAGATTTTCTAAGACCATCTGTCTTCTTCTAGTTGGTTTTCTTTAGGAGATAGGATCATGGTGCTGAATATCACACAAAGACACTCAATACCTGGAATTTATCACCCCTCCCATTCTATGAGGCAAATTCTGACCACAGTGAATTCTGAGCAGCCACATGCTTTTCCCAAGAGTCTGCTTGTTCCTCTAGTTGCGCCAAGTCACATGTTGCAGGCTCTTTGCCAGAAGCATCACACTCTTGGCAAAGGTGACATTGTCGCTACTAAAGCATTTAGTCCATGCTTTTCTGATTTGATTCGTGGGTTTGTCCAGATACATAGAATCATAGGCTATCAGAGCTGAAATGCCTCTTAGAGATCATTTAATTCACTCTTTTGTTTGGAATGGGGAAACTGAGGCTCAGATGGGGCAGTGGATGTGGCTAAGTTTAGCACTTGAATTAGACTTAATGCTCTTTCTACTATAGCACGTGGTCTCCCTTCTTCCTCTTGTGGGCTCTTTTGCCTATGTCTCTCCTTCTCGGTGCCTTTCTTGGGATGAGATACTGAGGATGCGAAGAAGAGACTGTAAGGCAAACAATCACAAGAAGACGGGCACCCCTGCTGAGGGTTGGCAGATTTTGTAAGAGAGTAAATACGGAAAGGGATTGAGATGACTGGCTAGAATGAGATTTGTTGCCAGAAGTTCTCTGAGCACATTGAAGCATTTGATAGCGTAAAAATACTAAAGCTAAAAAAAAAAAAAAATGAAGACTTATCATACAGACGAAGTATGTCAACCCAGCCGAGTCCAGATTGGAATTGGAAACCTAGATATCCCCAGAGCAAGGTTCTCAAACTGTGCTGGCACTTTTCCATAGGGGGCATTTTGGACACCTACGGGGGCGTTTTGAATGTCACGAAGGTTGAGGTGTGCTACTTGTATTTAATGGAACAGGGCCAAGGATGCAAAAGTCCCACATCCTGTAAACTTCTAAATGTCTTGTTAGATGTTTATGTGGTGAGAAACCTGCATATAGTAATAATACATAGTAATGGCTCTACCCCATACAAGTATTCAGTTTCCTAGCAATGCAGCCATCTTACTGGGGGAAGACTACACTTGGTTTAATTCAGAACTATCCCTAGAGTTGTCCTTCGTTTTGGAAAATCATATCACAGATGGTAACTCTGGTTTTAAATCAGTGGTACAGTGGCTGGCCAAGTGGCTCAGTTGGTTAAGAGCTCGCTCAAGAGTGCGAGCTCTGAGCAACAGCGGTTCGAGTCCTGGCCTGAGCTGAGCTGCCGCGGAGCTGCCAACAAGGTGGCAGGATGGCTCAGCTAAAAAAATGAAAAAATAAGTAAATAAATAAATCAGTGGTACAACATTCCTGTATCAGTTGCATTTGAGCTGCCAAATTCAATGGGATTTAACCCACAGGTGCAAACATTGGACTATTTCATTATGTCTTCCAGGGTAGTCATGCCCCAATATTCATAAGTAGAAATACATGGTATTGTGTATAAATTATTTTTGTTTCCTTTTAAAATGTTACAGTTAGAACATATGTTGATTCTTTCAAATGTATGTGTTTATGTCAGTTGTATTACATATATATGAATTTGTTTTCAGGATAACAAAAGGGGCTTTACAAAATATTTGTCATAAGAAGGGAACATTGGGTCTGATAAGGTTGGGAACCACTATTAGTGTGAGAAAATGAAGGGATGGCATTTGGAGAAAGTGAGGCTCCGGGCTCTGGGAGGGCTGCTTGGGGGCCCAGGAGACAAACTGAGGCACAGAGTGTGTGAAAGGCTGCAAGTCTCAGAGTAACCTTGTCTCCTAAGTGTTCACTTGGCCCCGGCTGAAGAGAACTCCACCAGGATGAGATGGACCCTCCCAGAGAACCCACGTAGCAATGGCAGGGATAGAGTGCCTCAGCAGGAAGCCAGGCAGAAAGGACACAGGCAGACATGTTCCTGAATGGCCCCTCAGAAAGCCCTTCGGTCTGGAGGGGACTCAAGGAAAGGGCTGAGCTCCTGTGTATGCCAAGAGGAGCCAACATTTGGGCTTCGGTGTGAAACATGACCTGATTTGCACCCAATGGGCTAAGAAGCCTGTGATTGTCAATTACTCTGATCATGGATATTCTTCATCTTGATAAAAAATAGCACCTTCAACCCTCAACCCTCTGGGGGACTGATTCTGTTCCACAGTCTGTCTCACACAGAGCATCAGGCCTATTAGCTCAGGCTGGATTAAAATATAGCTTCTCTAGATACCAATCCTAGAGGCCATCACCCACCAGGGGACAGAGCATTAAGAGGAAGGGAGAAATGAATTCAAGTGGCTCAAGGTGAGGAAGGATACAATGGATTTAGGCTTGGGGTCAGAGCTAGGATAATGCTTGCAAAGGCCCTGTGGTTAGAGTGTTAAAACAGCATAGATGCTGCTCCGTCCAGGAGTCTGAGAAACCAAACGGCAGAGTCCAAGGAGAGATGGGTGGGCAGTGTTTTCTGGCCTTTGCCGCCATTGACATTGAAAATAAGACAAGAGCAAACTGGCTTAAGGTGTAGCAGTGTGGGTTTAGATGGGACTGTGGGGAACCACCCGCATGCCAGGGTGGTGAGATTCCGAATCATATCCTCAAGAGAGACGGTGATGATTCTTTAGAAGATCAATGAAAGAAGGGAAAAGAACTCATTCATCGCTACAATTTACGTAGGCGTCCTTCCTGTTGTGAGGGATTAGGCTGGTGACAGATGTAAAAACCAGCCCAAGGTTTTGAGTGATTTAGAGCTTCTCTTACGGGGGGGGGGGGGGGGGGGGAGCTGCCAGTTTTTGAAATGTCCCCATATTGGCTGGAGGGAAAAGAGCAGAGATCATTCTTCTGGAAAAGCATGAGGAATCAGTAGGTTCCGGAATAAAGGGCAGTTACTCAAATGTGGACATTGGTATGGATAGGACTATTGAGGAGGGTTGGTCTTTCTCCAATTTTTTTTGCTTCTTGACTAAATAGCTTCCCCAAGGTTGGCTCAATATGGCTTATGTCTTGTTAGTCAGTATGTCAGGGCAGTGTTTCTCAAATGTCAGTGTGCCTCAGAGTCATCTGGCGGTTTATTAAAATGAAGATTGCCAGGCCCCCTACCCAGAGTTTTGAATGCAGCCCGCCTGGGGTGGGGCCTGAGAATTTGCACTGCATTTCATCGCTAACAAGCTCCCAAGTGATGCTTACACTGCATGGTCCACGGACCTCACTTTGGGAACCAGCACTCACATCAGAGACCACCCTCCAGAAACTCTGCAGCCGACTAGATTGACTCCTAAGTGGCCGAATGGTCTTGGGAGAGCCCCCCAAACCTCTCTTGGGACTTGATTTCCCAAGATTTAAAATGAGAATAAAACTATAGCTCTCTTAAGTACTTAGAACTGATAGTTTTGAACTAGAAAGTAAAAGCTTCGAAAACTATAAAGTCTTATCAAATGTATGCTTCCAAAGTGCCTCAATGTCGAGGTGGAACTATGCCATTTGACATTGCTTTGAACTGTTATTATACTCCACAGTGGTCAGGTGGCTGGAGGCACAGTTTGGTAGTAATAAGTGCGTGCTGAGCAAATAAAGTGAGGTGAAGATTTAACAGCTGAATGATCCTTTTACGTGGATAGACTCATGAGCAAGTTCAGGCCCCCCAAACCCAACATGTTGAGTTCAGCTGAATCACAACAATCTGGTGCTTTTGCCCAGGATTTGAGAAATCTGGGAAGACAGGAAAAATGCCAGGTGGGGACACGCCAGTGAAGCAGCCTTCAGCGCCATGGCCCACCCATGCCCAGAGCGTGAGCTCTCACTCACCCTGTTGTCTTCAGGAGTAGGAGGAAGAGGCTTCTTTGATGCTGAAACGAGAAAAACAGAAAAAGAACATGAGCCTGAAACTGAACAGCCCCAACCGGAGGTAAGCAGTCAGGGGGCTTTTCAGAGAAAAGGGGCCCCGAGAAGAACAGCAGAAGAAAAGGGGCCAGAAGGAGGTGGTGAGACACAGAGAAACGAAAACCGGCCTTGTCAGAACCTCTGTTGTATCTCTTTCAGCCTGCTGGTCCCCGATTTCGTTTTCTAGAAGACACCAGGAACTTCCAGAAACCAAAATTCTGGTCCTCTTGTTCTGTATTCTGAGCTAAGCCTAACCCAAAGGTTGCTGACTGAGGGGTTGGGCTTGTATCCTTCCCTGCAGGCCTGGAGACTTCCATGAGGGCACCTGCTAAGCCCAGGATTGGGAATGGGTGACTCAGGGGAATGGTGACTCACTGGCTTCCTGATGCTATTGTGGGCGTGAGGAGGGGGTGGATGAGGGGGAGGCCATCGTGCTGCTTTTTGAGAGGCTGGAATCCACTTTTAGTTAACTTAGGCCTCTGAATATGAGTTCTTGATGCCTCCCCGACACTGCACATCCCCCATTTATCTCTTTGGGTCTCCATGTCTCCCTCTTTTTATCTTTCCTCTCTCTATCCCTTCTTTCCTCCTTTTCCCTCTCTCTTTTCCTTCATCTCCTCATCTCTGTCTCCTAGTACGTATTTCTCCTTTGAGATACTGAACAGGTCAGGCCTGGATTCAACCGACCAAAGCTGTGTGGCTGGGACCAGGTGTCGTATAGGAGGCAGTGCACAGGTGCCCGCTCAATTCAAAGACTTCCTTTACAATCAGAGATAAGAAGGGACTGGGCTGCATAAGTAGGTGATGAGCTCCTTATCTCTGCACACGGTTGACTTGAAGTTGGACAGCTCATGTCAGGGATGTGGTAAGAGGAGTTTCACACATCAACACTGGAGGCCAGCCGCTGTGCTAACTGCTACAGCAAGGGCAGGGTAGGGTACTGGGTATGCACTTAACAGAGAAAAAAGGAAAGCATGGTTCCTATTCAGCACTCAACGTGGACCCAGGAGACTGGTGTTCTAATTGCAGGTCTACCACATACCAACCTTCGGCCCCTTCCGGCCCTGAACATTCTGTGACTGGTCTTTCTTTCTTCTTCCTCTGGCCTTGTTCTTCCCTTCCTTCCTCTCCCTCTGTGTGAAGTTGGTGTGTGGCGAGATCAGAGCCAGCTCTGGTTGCATAAATGAGTGTTTCTGTGGGTTGGGTATAGCAGGGCCCATTTTTACTCAACCATCTCTCCTGTTTCCCAGGCATGCATACACCTATGGCTATGCCTCAGCTCCACATTCTTCTGACCAACAATACGAAAGACTGATGGACACGATTGACATTGACTGAGAGAGGGCTCAGTAAGTACAAGCAGCTGTGCTAAGAGTTTTCCACAACCACACTGAGTCTCACAGTAACCCCACAAAGTAGCTACTTATTATCATCTGCCCCCATTTTGCAGATGAGGAAACTGGCTCAGAGGCTCAGAGAGGTTGAGTAACATACATGTAGTCACATAGCAAGGAAGTGATGGGGCTGGGACTCACTGTAAGTGTTGTTTGTTGTTTTTTTTTTTTGCTCTGCGCTCTTAGACCCTGCATTGTACGTGTGCCCAACCCCAGGATCTGATGAGCCTTCGCCCAGAGCAAATGATCATGTGCTGTGTGTACAGTGCAGTGTGTGTCTCAGAAACTCTGCCCTCAATTCTGTCAAAACTCTGGTACATGAGGTTATTTAAACCAAGTCAGAAAGACTAGAATGAGGAGATGCTCAGGGGGTGGTGGCCATAGGTAGCAACTCAAAAGCAGAGCTGTTAGCAGAGTGACTGTCCAGTTGTTAGGCCCTGGCTTCACGTGGGGTAGAGCTCAGCATAACCAGCCATCCCCCAGCGTCGTCTTGGAGAGTCTTTCAGAAGCTCCTCATGCCTCAGCCATGTATCTACCACCCCGTGGAGGGAAATACTGAGCACCCAGAAGGGGAACAGCTTCGACATGCATGGCGAAAATAGCACAATGGAAACACAGATTCAAAAAATTTCAAAACTGGAAACGGGGGGCAGCCGGTTAGCTCAGGTGGTTAGAGAGCAGGCTAATAATACCAAGGTTGCTGGTTCGATTCCCACTTGGGCCACGGTGCTGTGCCCTCCACAACTAGGTTTAAACAACTGCTGGACTTGGAGCTGATGGGTCCTGGAAAAGCACACTGTTCCCCAATTAAAAAAAAAAACCCAAAAAACCCCAAAACGACAACAACAAAACTGGAAGGGGGCTTAATGAGTATTTCATGTTAGGGTCCTTAAGACTTCCCCTACCATTTTAGAGATGACGTTAGGACCCTTGATGGCCAAGTGACACATCCAAGGGCCCACAGCAAGGTGCTGGCAGGAATTTGGAGACCAGGTTTCTGGCCTGGAAAGGGTTTTCACTCACAGAGGCCAGCCAATGCCATCCCATCGTGGTGGTGGGTTCTACCCATATAAAACCCTCAATTTTCTTTTTATTAAATACCTTTGAGAATATGGTCAACAAGGCTAATCAGAGGATCACTGACTCCTAACACTAGACAAATATTCTTCTTCTGGGCCCAGGAACTGGTAACCTTGAACTTTCTCTTCCAAGGTGGAAGGTGAGAAGTGGTGGTTTCCAAAAGTGGTACTGAAAAGGACTATGACTAAGGGAGCCATGGAAAACCCAGCCGTGTGTTACATTTAGCACATCCGCCTTGCGTTGTCAATCTGAGGTCTTAGGTTTTAGTGCAAAAAAGAAACTGACAGATGAGGAAAGGTAACTAGCGTTAAGAGAGGTTGAAGGCGAGGGGAATTGAAAGCAAAACAACCCACACAGTCCATCATTCCTATTCAACAGTGGCTTGGCAAAGCATGTCCTACCTGTTGGACTTTGTGCATACTGAACTGCTCAAGCCTTCCTTTTCTTTAACATCACACCATCTACTCCAGATGGGTGCAATGAATGGGAGCACAGCACATATAAAAGCACGTCAGAATGGAGCTGCACTTCATTGGGGGTTCAGGTCCCAAAGTCATCACACATAAGGTGAAATTGAGTTGCGCTCCAATCCCCAGGACCTGGGCCTTTGACCTCAAAGGTCAAGAAACAATGACTTTGGTTTTCGCTTTGCATGTAGGCTATGGCCTCCTATTCTCTAAGAGTGTGGAGGTCAAGGGCAGGTTTGAAGGAGAGGCAGAAAGAAGCCACATTGCAAAATAAATACTTTTACTTTTTTACTTTTACTTTTCCCCCCTCCACCAATGTATAGACTTGAACTCGTGTAATTAAAAACATGTGTGCTGTAACGACACGGTAAAAAACAAATATTATATACCTCTTAAGGCTGTCTCTACAACTTTAGATTTAAGTAAACCATGCCATTCAAATTTCCTAACTTTAAGGTGGTAGCAGTGCTATTCAAACATTACAAGGCACACAGAAATTCTGGGGATCTTTTTAAAATACAAACTCTGATCCAGTAGACCTGGGAGGGGGGGGCCAGAGAATGTGCATTTCTAACGAGCCCCAGGTGATGTTGATGCTGTTGGTCCAAGGGCAAGGAGGTATAATGACCATAAGCTTTGAGACAAAAAAATAAAAATAAATAAAAATAAATCGGCAGGTAGTAGAGGCAGATGGTTCCCCTCTGAAAATTCTGAAAATGTAGAATTTTGCCTTCAGTCTCTGACACCCCTGATGATGGGAAGCTGAGAGCTTTTACTTTCTACTAGTAGAAAGGTTATTCATTTTACAAAGAAGAAAGGGGATTCTCAGTGTCTTACCATTCTTGGTTGGGTCGTACTGGGCACAGCCTACGGCAAGCTTCTCCATCTGAGCACAGCACCTCCACCTCCCATCCATCCAGAAATTAGGATGATACTTGGGCACCAAACTGTTATTATTCCTCGTTTCTGAAAAGGGTGGGCACCAGCAGAAGAGTTATTTCCAGATCAGCCTATCTAGGGCCACCCACTTTATAACTCCTTGAGATTGGCCCTAGCTGTATGAGCTTGAGTGAATGGTACTCAGAAGAGTAAGAAACACGGCCTTTCCCCCAGGGCATATACATTTATGGAGGAGTGAATGTTGGATTTGGGCATCAGCAGACCTGGGTTCTTGCCTGGTTCTGACTCAGGTTACTTGTGTGTCCTTAGGTTGGGCAAAACCTTCATGCGTGCCTCAGTTTCCCCACTGTGCAATGAGGTCATTAGATGGGATCAGTGGGCCCCACAAAAGTGCCTTAGGGGTAATGGGGAGACTGAGTGGGTGGGGTTTCCCACCTCCATCTCTCTCACCTTCAAACACAGCAACTTTGCTTTGATCGTTTCTAGATCTGTGGCTTTAAAGTAAGATTATGATAGGAAAAAAAAAAGACTGTCCTGCTGAAAAAAGAAGTATAAAAACCAGAGAACTAGACAGATTATCTTTAAAGCCCCTCTGTCTTTAATGTCCTATGGGTAAAACCCCTTCACAGAGGGAGAACAGCCAATGGACATTGCTGGGGCCCTTTTGATTCCTTTTTACTTTAGTGTTTGCTCTGTGTTCCGTGACTGTTATATGTGAGGGCACTTCCTGGTTTACCTGGTACTGGCCTGTTTATATTCCATTTGAGACTCACAATCACCTTGGAAGAAGATAAGACTTGCATTTTTATTCTCACTTTTCAGATAGAGGCATTACGGCTCCTGAGGTTTCAAATGCCTTGCTTACCCTTAAGTCCTCATAGCTACTTAGAGACAGATTCATATTTGAACCCAGTTCTCCTGCAAATCCAGGGCTTCAGGCTAAATAACAATAATATCGACTAAGTGCTTTTAGGGAAAGGCATTGTCCTAAGTGTCTGCCATGTCATAACTCATTTAATTCTCACAATAACCCATGACTGTTATTAGTCAGGATTTATAGCTGAGGAAGTAGAGACACCGAAATGTCAAGGAACTTGCCCAAGGCCACACATAATAATTGGCAGAGCTGGCATTTTCGCCTTAGCATCCTGGCGTCACATCCTGTGTACCTAAACACTGAGCTGGTTCAAATTATGCTGTCAGAAGGGCGAGACTTAAGAAATACCTTTACTGATTATCTGAAAACGTTTAAAGCTAGCTAACATTTATTGGGTGCTGACTATGGGCCAGGCGAGTTTCCAGAGGCTTTACTCACAGCAGTTCTTGAGGCAGCTACTATTATGATTATTTCCTCTTTTTTTCCCTTTCTGAAAATAGATGGGGAAACTGAAGCACAGAGCAGCTGAGGAAGTTGCCCGAGCACACATGGCTAGTAATTGGCAGAGCCAGGAGTCAAAACCAGGTCATCTCACCCGAGGGCCCATGCTCTTATTTTTCACACTACATCACAGTACATTCATACGACTTTTCACAGGAGTCAGCCAAGTTCTTCTTAAAGGGGCAGATGGTAAATATTTAAGGTATTGTTCACCAGCAGGCAAAATTATTCTATTAGGTAGATCTTTCTATAACTCTTTAAAATGGAACCATTTAAAAATACAGAAAGCATCCTTAGCTTGGAGCCTTACAAAAACAGGTGGCAGACTGGATGTGGCTGACCCTGCCCTGTACTGGTTGTTGCTTCTTGCGTCCAGAGTGAAAAGTTGGGGCCTTCCACCAACACCAAAAAGGGGAAATGTTTGACCATCAGCGACCCTTGATTGTACTGTGAAACCCAATCCAACTAGAGGATCGAGGGGTCTCAGGGACTCTGTCACACAGGAGATTAATTACCTTCTTTCAGGGCCAGCACCCAGCGCTGCCGGCTCTCACGGTCTGGAGCAAACACGTACAAGAGGTAGTTGTCATGCACAACCTGGAGATACACACAGAGTTCAAGGTGAGCAGTGCACCCAGAGATAGATTACGGATAGCAGGCAGGTCTGGCTTACTGGGCCAAGAGTGGGATCTCTAAGCCATCGTTAAACTCAAACAGCTGGAGGAAGAGTTCTCTTGAAAGCATGTTTATTTCTCATGTTAATTTTTCAGAAGCTAAAGAAAATCTTTCGGACATATGATTGAATAAGGTATTAGATGGCAAGGATATAATCGGTATTTTAAAAACCTCTTATTTTGAGATAATGTAAGACACACAAGAAATTCCCAAAACAGCAGAGCTCCTGTGCCCTTTCCCGCAAGTCTTCCCCAGGGATGACATTTTTACATCACCACAGCACATTTTCAAAACCAGGAAACTGACACTGGCTCAGTACTATTAACTCGATTACAAATCTTTGAATGTCACCATTTTTTTTTCATGTACTCATTTGTAATTAGAATTTTAATGACAGGAAAATACATATTATTCCTTTTTTTAAATTTTTATTTTGAGCCCTAAAAATTCCAACTCATGGAGGTTATCATTCCAGTAAAAAGAAGGACCTTTTCTATGTCACATTAAAAATGGAATATTTACCCCTCAAATAGGCAAACAAGTATGGTACCCTATAATATGCAAGAAGATACCCACCCCTTAAGAGCCACATAGGCCAAGAGTGGTGATAAGATTTAGACAATGTCATGACCTAAAGACTAAAGGTACCCTCCACCAGCTCCATCCAATAGAACTTTCTATCATCTGTGCTGACCAATACAGGAGCTACGAGCCACGTGTATCTATTGAGCACATGAAATGTTCATTCATTCAATGTGGCTTAGTGTGACTTGGGAGCTCAAATTTTAATATTGTTTAATTTAAATTAATTCACATTTAAATTTAAACATCCACATGTGGCTGGCTAGTGGCTCCTGTATTGGGCAGCACAACTCCAAATAGTTCTCAGATTGTGAAATCTGATTCTTTTTACCCCAGAACCTCCAAGCAATTTCTAGCCAAGAATTGCAATCCATTGCCCCAAATCATGAGTAAACTGCACTTCAAGAACATTAGGCTTGGGGCCCCTGATAGTTTTTTTTCCCTCCCCCCAGGAGCAGAATAATTAGGACTTTCCTTGAGGCAGGGAAGACATAAGGGGAAGGGAAATGAGGACTGACAACTGTTTCAAGATTTTGTGCTTAATCTTTGTTGAATAAAAGAATGAATGAATGAACGAATGTGAAATTGATTGAAAGAACACAGCAGTTTTCTTCTAGTCTTGGTCTAACTTCTAACCTTAGACCAGAGCCACCCCTGTCCCACCTTTTCTTACAATGACTGAGAATTTCAACCATCATAAGAGGAATGAGGAACCAACGCACTCAAGCATCATGGACTTACCTGGAATGGGTATTTATAGTGGCAAGGGATGCTAATGTCACTTTTCACAATCTCAACACATTTGATTCGGGAAAGCTCAATGGAGCCCTTCAAAGTGCGCTTTTTCTGTGGGGGAGAAAAAGAAGACAATATTTTTGTCCTGGTTTCTTCCAGAAATCCATTACTAGATAAGATCCATTAGTTGTGTAAACCACTGCCCCACCCTGCCCCCTAGATATTCAGAAGCTACTTATTGGCCCTCAGTGCCTGAGAAGGACACTCTGATTGGACTCCTAGGAAAACAGTCTCTTTGAACCATCTTTACCCAATGAGACTGATTCTATTAGTGGGCTCTCAGGCTCCATGGAAAGCCAATCAGGGAAAAGCTTTTGGAGATCACAAGCCTTTCTCAAGTGCCTAGAATTAGGCTTCTGTTGAGAATAGTTTGATTCAGCTGTGGAACCAGTTGCAAAATACTTCATTATAGCTCATCCTTTAGAGCAGCGGTTCTCAATCTTCCTAATGCCGTGACCCCTTAATACAGTTCCTCATGTTGTGGTGACCCCCAACCATAAAATCATTTTCGTTGCTACTCTAAACTGTAATTTTGTTACTGTTATGAATTGTAATGTAAATATCTTTTTGTTTTCCGATGGTCTTAGGCGGCCCCTGTGAAAGGGTCATTTGACCCCCAAAGGGGTCGCAACCCACAGGTTGAGAACCGCTGCTTTAGAGGTAGCAAATGGTGGTGAACTGGACAAAATTTTGGAAAAGGCTAAGTTCAAAGTTCGGCTCTGTCTCTAACTGGCTCTGTGACCTTGGACAATTCATCTAACCTCCCTGAACTTCATTTTCCACATCTGATAAGGGAGGACAGTAATGCATACCATTTAAGGGTTGATTAGATAATAAAATAGGAATATGTAAACAAATTACCTAACTTATAATAGGTATCCTCAGTAAGGGGTACTCTACCAATTAGAGAGGTTATAGAAGTCCTATGTAGAGAGTTGTGATATATGAGTGCCCTGAGTTGGTACTCAGGGAGCCATGACATCATTAAATTCTCTAGAAGTGAGATCAGTCTTTATTTCCTATTTTTGATACCCAGCCTGGTTGCTAGCCTTTACTTTAGTAGCTGAGGCATAGAACTGAGATGAAAAAGGTCAAGATGTGAGAATTACTTTCTATCAAATACAGGGAAGCTTCCTAATATTTCTTTTTAAGTTTTCACTCTAAAATCTACTTTATTCAGTTTTGAAAGCACAAAAATCTATCCATGGTCATTGTAACAAAAATAAGTCAGTATGGAGGTATGTGAAGAAACTATTTATAGTGTCTTATTATCCTGCCTTTCTCCATGACCCTGAGGTAGTCAAGGTTAACCATTTGGAATGCATTTGTCTTTCCCACACACATTTGTGGCATACAGACAAACAAAAAAGAGCATCTGCTCAACATAGTGGTCTACAGCTACTTTGTAATCTAGCGATGCATGAACAGGTCAGTCTTCCCTTAAAAACCTCTGAAAACATGTGCCCTTTGGACTCAAACTATCTTGGAAGTTAGAGTCTTCCAAAGCTAGAAATGCATGCCCTGATTCTGCCCATAATCATACTCTTTGGAATGGTTAATCTGATTTTCAAAAACAGAAGAGTACAAGGGAAAAGCCTTTCTATAACCATCTGCAGCCATGGGTAAACAGAGAGTCTGAGCTTTGAGGTTATCTTGTTTTTCAACCTCTGTTGGGTTATTTCCTTAGTAGTACACACAGTGAAATGCAACAAAAGCTCACGGCAGTAATATGGCGACTCCATTTGCAGACATTTTTGTCCTTGGAACCCACTAAGTCCTATGCCCCCAGAGAGTAAAGAGCAAGACATCTGTCAGCATATCTATCCCCAAGACCTAGCACAGTGACTGGCCCACCACAGGTGCTCATGTTAGGATGGTATGAATGAAGGGTGCCAAGTGGAACACAGTTTAAACAGTCTCAGTCAGATTTAAGGCTAATGCATGTAGCCATTCAGGAAATATTTATTGCGGGCCAGCTATAAGCTGGGCACTGTTCTGAGGGGAGGAAATAGAGAGATGAAAGCAGTAGAATTTCTCATGGTGTTCACAGTCTTGTTGGGAAGGCAGGCAATATAAACAAGTGCTATAAAGAAAATAGAATAGGATGATGTGATCGACTTGTGGTCAGGGCAGGCCTCTCGGGAAAGAGGGCATCTGAGAAGACATCAGAAAGTTGAAAAAGGAGCCTGACATGAGACGGTCTGGGTGAATGAGCATCCTAGGTTGAGTGAACAGGAAAAGCGAAAGCCCTGGGGTAGAAAAGTTCTGGATAAGTGCTGGCTACCAATAGCCTGAGATCATCATAATCAGGGGATGAAGTGGAGGTAAGTAGTTACTGGAGTTGTAAATAGGGATAAAAATTCTATATGAAATTCTAAAGCCGTGCTGTCAAATAGCAACATAATGTGAGCCAGTTATGTATTTAAAATTTTCTAGTAGCCACACAGAAACACACAATCCGTATATCTAAAATATTATCACTCCCACATGTAATCACCATAAAAAAGTAATGAAATATATTACTTTTTAGTACTAAGTCTTTGAAATCATGTATTTTAAAACACGTCTCAATTTGGACTTGCCACATTTCAAGAGTTCAGTAACCACACATGGTAGCTACCTTACTGGACAATGTGGCTTCAAGATTTCCAAGGAAGACTTCTCTAAACTCAGATGATCTCCTTTGATTTTTCTGAGTTCAAACATGGGTTTTAAAGGACATTTGTACTTTAACTGTCTGTCAGGTGAGCCTGCTCTCAGGTTTCCTCTTCTGTTGGATGGATTTCATGTTCTACCATCAAAACTCACTTCCGTTCCCAAATGAGTGCTCAGGTTCCCTCCTCACAATCCATCATGCTTCGTCAGTCTCTCCAAAAGTCCTTAGGCCATTCTTCTTGATATTATAAGATCTGATATACTATGTGGTAAACAACACACCAACTGTGCCTTTCCCTAGCCAGGCACTGGGGAGCAGCTGGTCAGCTAGCTAAACATAGTCTCTTCTCTGGGAAACGGTGATTGCCTGTAATCATCCCAAACAACTGCACTATTTCTGAAAAATGCCAGGGTAAAACCTTCCAAGGAAACCACACAAAAACCACCAGAGAAAGAGAGACACCAAGTAAAACATGCCCTTATCCTTCCTTATTATTCTGTCTGCATCGCTTGGGGTGAAAGTCGCAGGATCTCTCTTGGCCTTGTCTCTTGACCATGTTCAGAACTGTCCTCCCTCCCATTCCAAAGCTTCACCCCGGACATCTGGCATGGTTCCAACACAATCTGACAGGAAGCTGATGCCCACATATTTGTACAAAGTCAAGCTTGTGCAAGTGGCTTTTATATCTCCTTTCTCTTTATGCTAACATATTGTATGAAATAGAATTTGGGGTTGTGGTTTTCCAAGAGAGGGGCAGGAAAAAAATAAAAGATGATAATGTCTTTGAGCACTTCCTATACTTCATGCATTCAATGCGCCATCTTATTTAATCATGATCCCCATTTTACAGGTGAGGAAGTTGAGGTTCAAAGGGGCTGAGTCTCTGAAGTGGAAGAGCAGCACACAAGCTCAACTCTATGGCTCCAGAGCCTGAGCTCTTAATGACTATGCTTCATGGCTTTGCACTTGCCCCGACTTTCCACATAAGACATTTATTCCCTGGACCCAACACCGAACAATCAATTGCATGACCGATTTCTTCAAGCTGTGACCCAACAGAAATTTGTTTCTGCCCCATTTGGTCATGCAATGCTTATGCTGGATTTCAAAGAGGGAGCATTTTCCCTGGTTCCTCAGAATAGCCCTTATTCGCTCCTTGGCTGCTTGGCTAGTCCAGCAGATACATCAGTGAGAAGTTGTGTGTCTAATACCCATGAAAGAGGATATCACCACCCTTCTGAAAAATAGCAGAATTTGAACTTTCTGCTCTGGTGAGGGAGAATGAGACAGAAATGGAGCTTTTAGGTGAGGCTGACCACATCTGCTTGACCACCTGTGCAACCTGAGGCAAGTGCCTTTTTTTTTTTAATAGTCCCTGAATCATGGGTTAATTTAGAGGACTTAAAAGAATGGCATAAGCTTACTAGCAAAATAAAATTATTCACATGATAAACAAATCACTCAGGCGTTTCTTTCCTCTTCCAAATGCCCATAAAACAAGACCTTGTTCTCTTGTCTTTATGCGCCCACATTTTCTTTGCGGATTTTCTTTCAGGCAAATATGTAACCAAGAACCACCATTTGGAAGACAACATTAATTTTTAACCAGCGGTCCTGGTGATTTTGACCTTCCAGAGTCATTTGTTTCTTTTGCCAATTATTTGTAAAATCAGAGCAAAACCATGAGAGGTTTCCTGGTCTGCCTAACTGTGCCACATGTGCTCTCACTTTGTAAATGTGAGGACTTGAGCTTTCTACTTCCTCTCCCGCTCTCCTGCTCTCCTGTCAAAATCTTCCTCAAATAGTCATTCACCAAAGGCTTAACTGACTGACAGCTTAATGCTCAGCTTGTTTCAGAGGAGTTCGGGTTAGGACAGTTCGTATTAGAGGACTTAAGCCAAGGAAGGACTTTGATAATGGAATTTCACGCATTGGCTGAGAGAGTATTTTTCAAAGGGAACCACCAAGGAGAGTGAGTATTTAACTTTCCTAGATCACACTGTAAATGTAGCCACATGCTGCCTTTATCGGTTTCTTTAAGACTAGGAGATCTTTCTGATGATGATTTTAATAAGACATTTCGAATTTTTTGCTCATTGCCTCTTCAGGGATGCATGTAATACAGCCATTGTACCAATCTGAAATCACACAATGACACAATTGAAATTAAAACTGATGTCGTGTGAGATGAAACTTAAGTGGCTGACTTGGGGTTTTTTTTCCCTGCCCCTGGCAGAAGGCACAATATCAGCTCTAACATTGGTTTCAAGGAGTCTTCCTGGATTCTAGTTTCCCCCCTTCTGCAAAACATGGTGGAGGCAACCCTAGAGTTCCCTCCCAGTCTCCTAACTCACTCAGCCTTCTGTCTTTTATGACAAAGGGAAACCCTAATGCT